TGTGCTCAATTAACTATGTAAAAGTTCAGATCTTTTATCCATCAAGTTTAGTTCTTGGATGGATGGGATTCACATAATAATCCTTCTTATTATATTTATCAATCACCTTGTGCAATTAGCCTCTAGATAATGTATAATAAAATATATTTTTGGGGAAAATCATAATTCATAATAAAGTAAGCCAACTGCAGCAAGAAACAATTTGAATCCTCTCACAATCATCTAAAAATGAAAGCAAACACCTGCAAACAAAAACTAATCATTATCAGATTAATCAGGGTCAAAATTTCAGTGAAATTTAAATAATATTAAGATGTTAACAGGCCTGGGAGAATAGAAAGATCTTCACCCAGTGCCAAAAAGACATTAAAGGGGTAGTATTTAGGGGAAAAGGGACGCGGGTGGCGCTGTGGTCTAAATCACAGAGCCTAGGGCTTGCCGATCGGAAGGTCGGCAGTTTGAATCCCCGCGACGGGGTGAGCTCCTGTTGCTCGGTCCCTGCTCCTGCCAACCTAGCAGTTCAAAAGCACGTCAAGTGCAAGTAGATAAATAGGTACTGCTCCAGTGGGAAGATAAACAGCGTTTCCGTGCACTGCTCTGGTTTGCCAGAAGCGGCTTAGTCATCCTGGCCACATGACCCGGAAGCTGTACGCCGGCTCCCTCGGCCAATAAAGCGAGATGAGCGCCGCAACCCCAGAGTCGGCCACAACTGGACCTAATGGTCAGGGGTCCCTTTACCTTTACAGCCTCCAGAGGGGCACCATTGAGGCTCCCAGCCTGTATGTTTGTGTATGCAAATGCATGTGCAGGGGTTGCCAAACTGAGTCTTTCACCCAAGTGAAATAAATCCTAGTTTTGCCCCTGCATGGGGTGGAAGAGACTTCAGAAGTAGCTGACCACCACCTAATATAGACATAATAGTGATGCCCTGCAAATGGTTGGCTAATTGGGAGTCACCCTTGGAATGCACACTTCAGTCCCCTGTCATTCCCTTCCTGACCACGATAGTCCATCTATTGTTTTTAGTTGTTTCTGTTCTGTTGGAACACATTTATTTTAAAATACGTTTTACTCTTAAAATTGTCCATTTCCAAGTTGCAGTTGAACTAGTTAAAACTTCACATTTCTGAAAGTGCTCTAATGTTCAAAGACTTTTAAACACTTTGGTACATCAAGTAAAAAGCTCTTAAGTTAGATGAACTAGCAAGGTAAATAGCACTTCGTTGGCATTAGCAACCAATAATTCCTGGAAGAGAATATTATTGTGTCTCTAACATCTGTGCTGTGGGTTGTGTTGACTTACGCGATATACGGCCAAACAGCTTACATTATTTCTTTAGAACAGATTTACAAGTTCATGTTTTCCTTCGTGAGGTGATGTCAGAGACCAGGCTGATGAGTACTGCTCTAATGAACAATGGTGGGAGCCTCCCCCTACCCCTCATAGCTTTCAACATTTCCCTTTTTTTAAGGGAAATTCCCATATTCCGAATGGGATTCCTCGCAAGAAAAGGGATAAGTTGACAGCTATGCTCCCCCTGTTCCTGGCCAGGATCCTGAAACTGCACAGGAGCAGGAGAGCAGTATTGATTTGGAACAACGGTTTGCTGGGGGACACAGTTCGGAAGAGAACAGTTGGGAAGAACTGGGGTGGGGGGACAGCCAGAAGAGGAAGAACTGCAAGAGAAAGTATCCAGCCTATTAGTCCAAGGGCAAGGAGATTAGATAAAATGGCTGAACAGAAGGCTTGGTGGTGGAGAGATCATGTTGCAAGGCTTGGCAGTGACAGGAGTAACTAGGGGGAAGTGGGTGTGAACCTTAAGTGGGACCACTGTCATTCCAGGAATGGTTGCTTTTTTCTTTTGCTGTCAGCACTCAAAGCTCTTTTGCTGGTAATGGGACTCATCTTGAATGAACCTAAAAAATGACCTGATCAGCTTCCATTGATTGGTCTATGGTTGGTTGTAATTCACATTTATCTTCACCATAACATAATGATGAAAAAGGGCCCCATACTTTGCAGGGTGGGGAGCCAAAATAATTTGAATTCAACATAGTTAGTTACTAACAAGTATTTGAAGTGTTGGCATAGGCTCTTTGTTAACTTTGCCTCTTCCCTTTGAAGTATATCTCTTCCACTATAAAAATTAGGCTGTAAGCACTTTGGAGCATTTTCTTTTCCTTTTCCTCTTTCTTTTCTTTCGCCACTCTTCAATGACTAATTTAGGTCCATTAATTAAAAACTTAAGTTGGAAACAGCTCTTACTCTTTGGATAAAGAAAATCACCTTCTTTTCCGTTAAGTTTGTCATACTTTATATTACCTGAAGAAATGAACTCCTATACTTTCCCCTTGGTAACAATGAAGTTCAACTGCTTTAGCTCAAAATACACTTTCTTGTGCTGTTAGAAATAATAAAACCATCCTAAAACAGATGGACATAGGTGCAGACCTCTTGTAGTTAGCATAGTTTATGGTGTAGTTTAGTGACTTTCGATCACTTGTATAATTTAGATTTTCCCCATTTTTATGGGTTACATAAAATATTCCTCATATTTTAAGCTACTCGTTGGGGATATAGTTTAGGATGAACAGTAAAATATTTCTGTCATTATCCCGCAATGTCTAAATCTGTTCCTAAAGTAAGAAATGAGAATTATATTTAGGGATTGGGGATTGGGGAGCACATGTTATTATAATATCTGCAGGATCCTTGATAGTAGTAGAACTGTCTTTCTATTATTAAGTAGCATCTGCAATTATCTGTGGGAACAGAAAACTAATGCCATTTAATCAACTCTAGTTTTGATTACATTGACTCCAGCAAACGTTACATGTCCTTCTTGTTAACAGGTGGCAAGACCATGGGAATTTATGTGTAAAGAATTGATTTATGTACAGTGGTACCTTGTTCCTCAAACTTAATCCATTCCAGAAGTTCATTCCACAACCAAAATGTTTCTAAAACCAAGGCATGCTTACCCATAGAAAGTAATGCAAAACGGATTAATCTGTTCCAGACTTTTAAAAACAAGCCCTAAAACAGCAATTTAACATGAATTTTACTATCTAACGAGACCATTGATCCATAAAATGAAAGCAATAATCAATGTACTGTACTATAAAATAAATAAGACAGTATTGTAGATGATTAACATTAAAATTTATTCTTTTTTTATATGCCTGCACTGATGATAGTCATTGTTTGGATGGGGGGAGGGCTTTTATCCATTTCCACAGTCACACAATCAATCAATCAGTAGCTGAGCTGGGTTCTACACAGTCACAAAAACAAATTAACCGAAAAAGCCTCAAAAACAAAAATGTAAAATAAATAGCAAAAACAAAGCACCAAACTTAATCCGTTCCAGAAGTCCATTTGACTTCTGGAATTTTCAAAAACCAAGGTGCAGCTTCTGATTAGTGCAGGTGCCCTGGAAACAATAGCCAACAGCTGCATCAAACGTTCGGCCTCCAAAAAACGTTTGAAAACCGGAACACTTACTTCTGGGTTTTCGGCATTTGAGTACCAAGGCATTGGAGAACCAAGGTACCACTGTAGTGTTCTAGCAGTCTCTTTAACTTTTGCAGGAGCATTAGAAACCAAAATCAAGTTGTTACCTTTCCTAGGGGAGGAGGAAGCAGATATTCTCTAGGAGGCTCATTGTTGTGAGAATGAATTAAAGCATTGTTCCATGGGAACTAAACTGCTTTCCCCCCCACAGGGCACAATTAACTTAGGGAGTTTGCTGCCCAAAAGATGCGGAGATGGCCACTCACCCAGATGGTCTTTAAAAGGGATACAACAAATTCATGGAAGAATCTCTATATTCAGAGGCAGTGGACTGCTAAATGCCTGGGACTTGGGGCCAGCATTGGAGAGGGGGATGCTGTTGTTTTCAATCTCTGCTTTGGAGGTTCCTAGAGGCATCTTACGTCTAACTACTGGACTAAAGGGGCTCTTGATTTAAGCAGGCTTGTTTAAATATTCTGAAGTCAGGCAGGTTTTACTAGCCAATCTGCAACACCTGTTTATTAGTTAAGGCATCTCTGTAATAATATCCCACTAACTGCAGATGTGCCTAAAGGTTTGTCTACCGCATCATTCTTTTGAACTGTTTCATCAAATGGCATCATCTGGACACTTAGGAAGGCAGAGGCACTGGACTGTGTTTGGGGAGCCTGCAACATTTTATCTGAGAGACAGCCTCCACAAATCCCCTTTACCCTAAAAAAAAAAAACACTCCATGAGGAGTTTCCCCAGCTTTTAGGAAAAGCCCTAGCTTTTGCTTGAAGACAGGTATTTCCAAGTGTGGTGGAAGAGGTTTAAGCATACACTCACTGCCATTTGTTTTTTAGCCAGAGAATGAGTGTTGAAATAATTTCCTCCACATTTAGGCTGAAGACAAAAGCCCCCTTCATGGATGAAGGGAGTCCCATGCATGGAAAGGGAGCCCTGGGACAATGGGGCTGGCCTTGTTTCTAAGATGACACAGTTTCCTTCACAGATGTCCATGAGTTTGGCAAGAATGTCTAAGCTGAGGGAGTCAGCTTTGCAGGCTTCCCCAGCTCAGACATCCCATGCCTAATATTCATGTTAGTCAAATGAAGCGGTGCAACCTTAAGGGCAAGGGCAGCAATGTGTCCCACTGATCCTTTCTATGTGTGGACTTGGTTCATGTGGGTATCCTTGAAGGGAAAGTAGACATTCTAAGTATTGTAGAAGTGGTTTGAATATACATTTTCTGCTCTGAGAACAAATGCCTCCGCTGCATTCTGAGACATGTTCAAACCATGCCTACCCCACTTATGAAAGTCACATAGGGCCATCTTTCACAGAACCCACCCCAGCTTTCAGCCCAGACCTGAATGTGGGTAGCAACCAATACACCTAAGGAAAGAAACAGAAGCCTGAGCTAACAATGGGGATTGTTGCCAAGGCTGCTGGTGTCACAAAGGTACTGATGTCATCCCCTTATAACACAGAAACAGATACAGTTGAAGAGGAAGAGGGGAAGGAAACAGGAGTAGACTAAAGGGGCTCTTGATTGTGGGCACAAGGGCTCCATAGGATGGAGAGAGGGAGGAAGCAGCAAACAAGGGAAGAAAAATTACGCAGTTCAACAACTACACAAACCTGCTGGGAGACTGGGAATGCAGTGCCATCAAGTGTGCAGAATGATGTCCACCATTATCTCTTCTCTTGATCTAATTCTGTGAGATGCTGTTGAGGACCTGAGTCAGTGTCTAATATTAACAAAATATAGAATCTGAAGTTTAAACTAAAGAGAAATCCTGGTGGCTCAGCCTGCTCTAATTGGGGTTCCACCCACCTTGAGGAACTCATTCACCTGGCATTTCACTGGATTGCCAGATGACTGGGGACGCATTTATATTACTTCAGGTTTTGCACTATCGGCCTGCACCCCTTTTTTACAGCAACAACACCAGCATCAGCAGGTGAAAATATGGGGTGGACCTTCTTGGTGGAAGTGCCAACCCAGATTGTGGACTTGAGAAGCTCCAGTAGAACTCCCCTCTGCCTGCTTTTCCAGCATCAGGTAAAAACAATGTTTTTAAATTAGCTGGTGTGTGTTTGGCTGATAGCAGCTGAATAATTTTGCTTTACTGCTAGATTATTTTTAAGTGTTTTTATTTTGAGTTGTAAGTTGTTTTGAAGGCTTCTTACATTGGGTGGAATATAAAATTTTATCTGAAGTCTGTTGTGAACAGGAAGGAGAATTCAGGACAGTGGTTGTGCAGTTGTTTGGATCCTAATCAGTCCTCTTCCATAAATGGGATTTGGGCCAACATTCTTCAGACAGCAGCTCCTCACCTCTCCATGTGCCTCCCTTCCAAAACCACATGGCAAGGTGTTGAAGCTGCTGGGACTTTCAAAAGCAGTTTGTATTCTGGCATGATTCAAATTTAAACATTCAGAAATCCCACTTGTGTGCTGAAACCTTTGGGCAAGCTGAAAGTAATTCTTTAGATCACAACCTGTATTTTACACATTGTATTTTCTGTTTTAAGCTGGTAATTTGTACATAGCCAGCATGATTATATAGAGATTGCTCACATTAATCCCATTACCCCTTTCCTCTTCTGGTACTCGTTTGGGTCAGGAACCTGTCTTATTTGCTTATGCTTCTTTGTAAAGTACTACATACCCTTGATGTCATGATACAAAAGAGAATACTGATCATCTTCCCCTAAACAAGTCCTGATGGAATTACTAGGAGCCACACAGATTCAGTACCGTAGTCTTTCCAACTTCCATTTATTTCTCTGAAGCTTGCAGAAGAGAACCTCCTGAGTGACTCTGTCCCATGTTAATCAGTTGAGAGGGGGCTGCTACCTCAGCCACCAAAATGTATTGGGCTGCTCCTGCGTATGCCATAAGTAGGAAGAAACATATGGCTAAAGTGGAAACTAAAAGTGAGCTGGAGCATAAATGTAAATGTGTAGATATCCCAGGAGAAACATAACCAGAATAGATATTCAACACAACATACTTTCTTAACAATAAGTAAGTTTTGATATTTGTGTATTAGTGTGATTTAAAAATTAACAACAAAAAAGTATTTAAACAAGATACTTACGTTGCATAAAAAACACCTAATACTTTATAAGAAGGCTGCTCTTGAAACATACTAATCCCCCTTCCAATATGTGTTTTATGTGATTTGGGGCCATATTTGAAAAACAATTCTTGTAAATGCAATTCACAATTCTAGCAGAAAATTACATTTTGTGTTTCTGTAATGATCCCATGAGTTCTTTTTTGCATAAATCCTTTCTTCCACTTTGAGATACAAATCTGTTTTACTGAAGACAAAATGCATTTTCAGCTGAAAAAATGTAAATTAATTTTCTTAGAAAATTCCTCTGTGGGCCCTAAGTTCTGAAATATGAGGATCACTGGCGTTCTTTAAGAAAGTGGTAATTTGAATTTTTACTACTATTAACTTTTTATTGGTAATTTGAATATTTTGCTATAATTACAAATTCCCTTTTTATCAAGGATATAGGCTGTGTTTATCAGCCCTGTTGCATTGTTCATTGCTGACGTTTGGAAAAAGTAGCAATTTGTATGTGGCTTAGAAATTTGTCATGGACAATTTTCTGTTAAGTATAAGAATCAATTCCTTAACTACTTATGCATCTGAGAAGCCTGAATTTATAGTAAAATGTCATGTCTCCATTTCTTATGAATTTCATTGTACCTTTTAAAAGAAAACCCAGTTCTTTCAGAGAAGTTCCTTGCTGTTCCACACTGATAAAATCATTTCAGCTGGCAGAAGTTCCATCCCAAATCTGAGCCCTCCTCAGTGCACAGCACTTTAAGTGGAATGAAATGCTCCACTTTTCTATGTATTGTTTGTGCCAAAGAAGCCTTGAGTTCGAGCACATTTACATCTGTTTTGGGTAATTCTCTGCATATGTTCCAAAATGTAAGTTATCCATCTTACCCAAGAAACAGCATTTGTTGGAAACAGTTTGCCAATTGGAAACTCGATTGAATTTGTTCTATCATGCTGAGGCTTCATTTGAGGTCTGAAATATGTTCATCTTTGTTCCTCCAGCTGTTTTACCATTCTGAACCAAAAGCTTTTCCTACAGCCTAAGTCCTCAAACTTGCTATGCCAATAAGTTGTCATAAGACATCAAATTATGCTCACATTAGATGTTACTTTATGCTAAGGAAAACTTGGCTCAGCAGGGACTCAATTGGCCTCTTGAGTTTATCTGCCTGCCTAGGATTGCAAAAGTGGAGTTGGGCTTGTTAAGCACCTGGTAGGCTCCAGAAGGTAGACGTTTGGCCTGAGTTTGCAGTTGCTGAGTCTGCTGAGATTCAAAGGAATGGAGTGTGGGAGAGTAGATGAGGGCTGAAGAATCTGTGTCTCTTTCAGTGCTGCTGGAGTGTAGCTCCCATCACCTCTGACCATTGGCTGACCATGCTTGCTGGGGCTGATGGCAGTGGTAGTTCAGCAACAGCTGGAAGGCCACAGGTTCCGCACCCTGAGGTGGATTATGACATGGTAGGTTATGTAACCCAGGGATACCTGTGGAGGCTACTGAGCAGGTCAAGAAGAAAAACTGGACAATGCCTGATAGGCAACAGGGTGTCTGTGTAGCAAAATAGCAAATGTTATCAAGGCAAGCCAAAGAAAGCCAGACTACTTGAACCTCACCTTTCAGTTTAGATTTTATTCAGTCTTATGGAGACCCAATAGAAAGATGCTAAAAGATATACTATATGCTACATTTAAGACCGGGGGAAATTTTGGAGTTGCCTGGTTAAATGGCTTTGTCACAGAAGGTACAGAACCAAGGTACAGTAGGTTATGCCTTTTGTCTAAAATGGTTGTTGCACAATCCTCAAACTGACCTCAGTGGATACACTGCTGTTAATTCATTTATGTAGGCATGGTATTTTTTTTTTTAAAGTGTTCATTGCTGCCTGGAAGGACCTTTATGGACATGTTCCTTTGTCTTTGGGCAGCTTCTTGCTGAAATGGGGATTTAGGTGTTCTTTACAATATGATCCTTTGGCTCCTAAGCTGTAAAGAGGCATTTGCTCTTGTGCCTTTCAGTTTTTCTCCCACAAGAGCTTATCCATGAAACCTTCCACAACAGAGTCAATTCTTCATTACGTCAAATGAAAACAAATAATAGCCAGGTGTTCTTTTTTAAAAATGTATTTTTATTAAAGATTTTCTTGATTTACAAAAGTATGTGTAATGTCTCTCGTTTTTTTACCATGTAACATTTTTACAAATCAGTTTCATTTGTTGAGACATTAGGAAGAAAAGGGGAAAGAGGTGGGGGGAGATGGGGGGGTCGGGTGGTGATGTTTCTGTTTTACTTAATATATGTAGGGTTTGGTGTCAGCATTGCTTGTGCTGGTTCTCTGCTGTTCACTTGTATTCCTTTGGTGGTGAGAGAGGTTGGGGTTGGCCTAGGGTGTGGTTGTTTGTTTGTGATTGGCTGTGGTGGTCTTTGTTTTCATGTGTGAGTGGGGTGGGTGGGTGTTTTGGATCAGTTTCAGTTTATTGGTTAATTTTTCTAGTAGGGCTGTTTCCCATACTATTTGGTACCATTGGTCCATGCTTACTCCTGACAGGTCTCTCCAGTGTCTGGTTATGATGTTTCTGGCTGCTGAAAGTAGGCGGGTTATGAGTTCTTGTGTTATTGTCTTGGAAGATGTTTAGTAGGGCCAATTCTGGGGTGATTTCTAATACTTGCTTAGTTATTTTACATAATACCCAGGTGTTCTGAAGTCTCCACTTTACTACAGACTCCTCCAAATGTCTGCTACTTCTGCTCACATTTCATCTTAAAACTAACTCTTAAGGGAATTCGATACATTAATGGACAATGAGATTCTTAGTGGCTATTAGCCACACTGGCTGTGTACTGCCTCCAATATTGCAGTAGGCCTCTGATCACCATTTGCCGGGAATCACAATGGGGGAGGTTGCTATTGTGCTCATGTGCTGCTTGTTGGCTTCCCATAGACATGTGGTTAGATACTGTGAGACCCGTCTGCTGGACTTAAATGGACATTTGTTCTGGTCCATGAGGGCTGTTCTTATGTCTCAATCCTGTGTAACACATGGGATGGTGGTGACTCATGTTTACATTTAAGGGTATATGTCCAAGTTGCTTCTGGCTCATTGCTCTAACTAGCAAATCTCACTCTCAGTTTTGGAGCTGGGCTGGGAGATATGCCTGCAGTGATGGATAGAGGGAAGTGGGAAGGAGTCACAATTCCCTCACCTATATGACCTTTAGTGCTCTGCCAAAAACCCGTCCTGCTATTTCTTGAAAATTTTCTTCCCCTGTGAGAGAGTTTGATTTTTCTGCCATTTTCTCAGGACATTTCAGGATTTCTTTAGAATTTTGGCAGAAGTGGGGCTGAGTTTATCTTATCACTGCAAGATGGCCGTGGGTGGGCTTGTTTTTCTCTTTCCATTACTCATTTCTCCAGCACTGCGCAGCCTCCCCAGCTTCCTGATCTGAAAAGAAAAAAAAATCCCATAGGAGAAGTTACCTCACGTATCTTTCCCCAAGCTTTAATTGAAGCAGGGGAAATTGGCTACTGAGTGCCTGGGGCTGAGATCAACATAGTTGCCAAATTTGTTTTTAAGCAAAGTCCTTCCTTTTAATTTTTTTAATGAACTACACTGATTTCTTTAAAAGTAAAAAGACTTCACTTAAAAAAATTCCATTGAACTTCTGCCAGGCACAGCAGTAGATACCTTCCACTCTTCCCACTCTTCCAGGAAAACCTAGCTGAGGACATCATGGGGTTTTCAGAAAGTGTGGGAACCCGGGAAGGCTGCAAAGTGCAGACTACCAGAGATAATGATTTAAAAAATGAAATGAAAGATGCTCACAACCTTCCCCCCCCCCGGCCTCTCTAAAAGTAAGGAAAGTACAGTGGTACCTTGGGTTAAGTACTTAATTCATTTCGGAGGTCCGTACTTAACCTGAAACTGTTCTTAACCTGAAGCACCACTTTAGCTAATGGGGCCTCCTGCTGCCACTGCGCCGCCGGAGCACGATTTCTGTTCTCATCCTGAAGCAAAGTTCTTAACCTGAAGCACTATTTCTGGGTTAGCGGAGTCTGTAACCGGAAGCGTATGTAACCTGAAGCGTATGTAACCCGAGGTACCACTGTACACACAAAAACATGCACTGCAACATGAGATTTTACCAAAATTTTCTCTCCTCTTTGATTATTTTTGAATACAACTTATTTTCTCATAAATTACTGGGCAGTGGTCAAAACCAAAAATAAGCACAGCGCTACTTTTGATGTAAAAACTCAACCCAAACTCTTTTGTTTGTGAATGGAGTAGATGTCAATAAATAAAAATTGCTTTCCCTGTTGCATCTGTTTTGGCTAAAAGGCACAGGTCCGATTTCCATTAAGGTTTTGTAATACAGAGTGTCTAAGGCAAAGGAGATGATATGGTATTTTAGTTTGGTTTGCTTTCTTGTGTTAACCCTGTCATCATAGCAAAATATGTGGCAGAGTATACCAGGAGTATGTGTGGGAGGTCTGTTGTTCTCAGTATGTCGGTGATGATGTGGCATGCCCCTTGGGAAGAGAGGCCCCAAACACCCAGTGACTGCCAGATCAGGGAGTGTTTAATGTTTCTGTGTGAAGATTCATGGTTTTGAATGTGTGCAGTGTTAAGTGCTGGGTAGTGGGTCCCCCCCCCTCCTGTTTCCCCCACTAAAGTTACCACAGAAGTTAAAAAAAAATGCTAGGCCTATCCTTCACTTAGCCTTTCCTTTTTTTATTTTTTAACAAAATGAAAAATACGTAGAGCAGTTGTCATTTGTTAAAGTGTAGCAGAAAGAGCGAAACAGGCCAGTGGATGCTTCATCAAGAACACTCATTCAGAATGATGAATGTGGCTAAACACACATTTGTTCGTAAAACTTGCAGAGTGGATGAGCATCATTAAGCATGAGAAATAGGTGCAGCATGCTGGGGAGAGAGTGGAGCAAACAGATGTTGTGAATTTTCGCAGGCATCCTTCATCCACCAGTCCATCATTAATATAGTTGAAGGTGATCCTTTCTTTTATTTAATAAGCACAAACAAAGAGCATGCGCTGTGCTAGGACTGCTGAATATACGGTTTTCTAAGGGGGAGAAAGGCACAAAATGCAGATAGATGGGCTACTTTACTCAGGGTGGTGGTAGTAGTGGATCATCAGAATCGCATCAGATACTTTGGTGGCTCACATCCCCACCTTCTTGTGTTTACAGCTTGCCTTTCAGCAGGAAGACTCTTTAAGCAATCCATGTAAAGAGTCTTAAAAGTAAAATACATTATTTAAAAAGTAGAATCAAAACTATGAACATATAAAAGCTGACAACAAAAGTCATGACTTGAGTAGTTGAAAAACCAAGTCTCAGCCTCCTAAACCTCAGTGGAATGCCATGGTTTTCAACCATCTCTATAAAGAGGAAACAGAAGCTACCATTCTGACCTCATAAAGGGAAAAGTTCCATAATTCTTAGGCCACCATAGAAAAAGCCCTGCTCCTAGTTGAATAGCAGTTTGAAAGCCCTTCGTTACAGCAGAAGTCTCAGATCTGGTTACCATTGAATGTGCACCGGATCTACTTGGTCTGTTGAATAAATGGGGAATCTGTGTGGGGAACTATGGATTATTGACTATTATTTAATTTCTCTACAACTTACGGTAATATATTAAAAATATCTCTAAGTGGTGTACAAAAAAGAAGCAACAACAGACAACTTAAATAATTATGATGCATTATCTATTCTCATAACTGATGTCGGGTTCTACATTGACCCTGGATTCTAAAATGGTATTAAATTGAATTGTTTTAGAGGTTTTGTTATAGGGCTCTAATATTTACTATGATTTAGCACAGAAACCTCATGCTTCATGTAGCAGTTTACTAAATCAAGTTGTAGTTTACACTTGCCATTACAGCCTTGGATTCATAACATCAGTGTGAGATGATAAAAGTAATAAAATAATGAAGTATAATAAATATAGCCAGTACCTTTGCCACTTTTGTGCATACATTATGTGGTGGAACAAAATAGAGATAAAGTAGCCACTCACTGACTTTGAATTCCCCAGTTTTGAAGCATTTAATCAAAGTTTTTAGTCATCCTGCTAGTACATCAGAATATATAAATAATGGAGTAGCTATAGCAACTCAGATATAATGACTTCTGATATAGGGATATAAAGAAATGTACACAATGAGGTAACTGGGTATACTGGGAAAAACAAAGAAGCTTCTTGTCACAAGCTTTTATAGAGAATCTGCAAAAAGGACACATACATACTGGAATCAGATGCAAGCAGTCTTCAGGTTTGTGCTCATAAGATCAATTCAAAACATTGCTCCATGAACTCCAAACACCTTGTGTTGAAATAAACCTATAGATTACATAAAAAAATAGAGTTAAGTCCTATGTCCATTTCTACCAATCTCATTACTGTTAGAGGAAAGGCTCCTTTGAGTAAATCATTTGCCTTACTTCGCTTTTCTTGAGCCCTGAAGTAAAATCTTTCCTGAACAATGTATTTTGCATGGGGAAACAAATCAATAATTTTAAGAATGATAATTGTATCTCCACAGAGTAAGGAGAGGCAGATGTGGAAGGGAAAAACAATAACGTGCTACTGCCACTTACTCTTACTTGCTCATCTTCCTATTTTGTAATATAAATTAGAACTTCATTTGTTAAATTCCCAGTGGCTTTGAACTCTTACTGAAGAGTGGTGTGTTGTTAGGAAATATGCCAGCCATATTTAATTTTTCATACTGAAAATAAACTAAGTGATCTTTTTCAGTATCATATTCTGAGATGATACAAGTAGGGAAGGAACTTCAGTACAGAATCCCAAGAGAGTTAGTTCCATATGGGTTTGTTACTTGAGAAGCAATGTGTGTTTGGCATTTCCATTTCACAAAGCTCATTTATCCCTTTAGAATTTTAAGCCTGAAAACATAGCTGGACATTTAGAAAAGCAACCTCCGAAAGCATTGGTTTCTCTTTAGGTGGGATGTGTATTTAGGAAGGATGCCACAGTCCTAAAGCTGGATAACTCAGTTGGTTAGAGCATGGTGCTGAAATTACCAAGACTGCAGGTTCGATCCCCATAAGGAACAGCTGCATTGCAGGGGGTTGGACTAGATGATTCTTAGGGTCCCTTCCAACTTTATGATTCCCAATCAGCAGTCTTTTCCTTGACCCCTGCCACAATATATGTTGGCATTGATTTTCTAAGCAGTTTGTACTCTCTTCAAACTTTCCTATTTTTTTGAGTTGTTGGCACTCAGCAATTTAAGGTATGCCTAGCATATGTTATTTTCTGGATAAGCTGGGCTTTTATTGACTAAGTGTCTTCGTCCTGGTGTGTCACTTTGACGATTGCCAGGGCACCTTCCAGGAAGGTGCTCTGGCAATCTCCACCATGTCCTTTTCATGAAGGTAAGGTGCTCAGAAAACCATAGTTAACATTAACCACCACTGGATGTCCCAGCAAATTGTGACAAAGTAAAAATGGAAGTGAATGCTTCTGAGCACCTCCCTGGAGCTGTATCTGAGAGGGAGTGGGGAACAGAAACTCTGCTTACTTCTTTAAAAGGTAAAGGTAAAGGACCCCTGACAGTTAAGTCCAGTTGCGAACAACTCTGGGGTTGCAGCGCTCATCTTGCTTTACTGGCCAAGGTAGCCGACGTTTGTCCACAGACAGTTTTTCCAGGTCATGTGGCCAGCATGACTAAGCCGCTTCTGGCGAAACCAGAGCAGCGCACAGAAACACCGTTTACCTTCCCGCCGGAGCGGTACCTATTTATCTACTTGCACTTTGACATGCTTTTGAACTGCTAGGTTGGCAGGAGCTGGGACCGAGCAACAGGAGCTCACCCCGTCACGGGGATTCAAACCGCCGACCTTCTGATCGGCAAGCCCTAGGCTCAGTGGTTTATACCACAGCGCCACCCGCGTCCCTTTACCGCTTAGTCAAACTCAATTGATTTCTGGGCCTTCTTCAGCCAGCCCCCACCAACTGACAACATTCCGAATGGCTTGTCTCCCACCTCATTTTTCTGGCTGCTGAAGGTACTTCAGCAGCAGCAAGTGGGTGAAAGGAAGGAACAAAGGAAAGGGAGGCAGCATCCATAGCCTGGCATACTGCCGGCTTGCTCCTTTTAGAAATAGGGTGCTGACTAGATGGATCCTTGATCTGATCCAGTAGGGTTGCTCTTACGTTATTAATTTGCTTCCGTTGAGATACATTATTTGTCCCTTTTTAACCCGTGGGAACAATCCTGCTTACTGAATAGCATTCTAAGGGGTCAGCCCCAGTCCTTTGGGTGCTTTAAAGGTCACGTCAGGCAACTTGAACTACACACAGTAATATAGAGAGATCCAGAAACCTTGAATGCACACTCTTGCAATCATATACTATTCTCTGAATCACATGTTTTCAACCAGGTGTCATACTATGAAATACCACCAGCTGTGGAACACCATTCAAAGTCACAAATGTCCCACATATTAAACACCTTAGAAATTATATGTACCTGGCAAAGATCGGGACAGACTCTATACATATGTTGCAGGGATTTTCTTCTTCTTCAGCATCCGCTCAGGGTACTTGGAGGACAGGCAAAAACTATTATGTTAAATTGTGCTACCTATACCATCAGCTTTTGTCTTTGCTAAAGCTGCCAGTTTTTATAAACAACTGAAGACAGAAAGGGTTTACTAAGAATAATGTTGAAGCCCAAAAGAATCCTACAGCCTATAAATCTTAATAGAGGTTCTAAGATTCCAGTGGGCTGCATATGTCTCTTTTACCCAGCCTCACTCCATCTTGGCTCCCCTGTGATGACTACAATTTTCTTGAAACAAGAAGCACAGTGACTTGAATTTACTCCTGGCGCTATTTGCCTACAAACAGGAATACATGCATATAACCTATGCAAATCAATAAAAACATGTCAAGACCCCTTAGATCGCAGTACTCTCCTAAAATGCAATTTATCATGCTGCAAATGAGAGCAAGAGACTAGGTAACAAATAGTGTCTGATCGTTTAACTAGCACCTGTTGTCATGCATTTGAAAACTGCATTTTTTATTTGACGTACAGTAAATTGCATTTTCATATATATGGAATGGAAGTGGGACCTGGGGATGTACACATGCAGGCATTTATGAACATTATGAAGAATAGAAGTTATATAGCACTACCCCTTTTTAAGTACTGGAATTAAAACAAAATATATTTCTCTGTGCATTTGTTGGACACAAAAGGTAAGTTCAGGGAGTGTGTTTTAGAGGTCATCTGTTTATGGCCCATATAGCTGCCATATGTTTTGTTTTGCAAAACACTCCCAACATGTTAACCCAACAGTATTTACTACAAATTGAAACAAGCTGTTTTGCACTTAACTCCGGGGGGGGGGGGTGTGGAGGGCAGTGGGGGACAGATGACAACTTGGTAAGCTTGTCTTCCTAACAAACAAGTTGTGGATAAATGAGATTTGTTCAGATTAATTTCAAGGTCTCACCTTACAACCTGTAATGTTTTACTGTGTTGAATAATGTCTAGCAAGGATCCTTCCATTGGTGGAAACACGACAATTGCAGTGTAACACATGTGGAGATTCTCTACCTCCCTCCCTCCTTCCCTCCCCCCTCTCTCTCTCTGGTTCCCCAGTCATTAGTGGCTGCTCTGGCTGTTGTCATGAAGGCAAACCCTTCAGACATATATTATTCCCTTCCCTGTCTATACTGACTTGCGTGTTCCAAAGAACAACAATATTGGTTACCTCTGTAAATTTAAGCAAGGTACCAGTACTTGCTGGCATTGACGTACTTTTTTTTTTTTTTTTACACCACTGTCAAGGGACTCCATGTCCAAAGGATAACTGCAAGACATAGGAGGCATGGGTTGGGCTTACAACCACAGCAATAATCAGTGGAAATTTTTTATACACTTATCATATTACTCAGTAGCATGTATCTGAATTCACAAAGTTTCGTTCCAGAGTTTAGCAAAGACATCTATGTGCACAGCTCTTTCTTTTTCTAAATACCCTCCTTCTGCAAAGGTAGGGGTTACCTGTTCCCATATGCACCTGTTACCAATGTATATTGTTATTATTTTTAATTTTGGTCTTTGGTATTAACGATGAGTCACAGCAGAGTTCTAACTGCTATAAGAGAAATGAAGAAAACATATGGCAGTGAGTCTAGGTGCCACAAGGGAAACTTTTGATGCTTAGTACTTTCAGATAAAACTGTAAATATCAGTGATGGGAGAATTCTATATTTGACAAAACACGAAGTCCCAGAAAAAGACCTCAACTCTATTTTCATTACCTGAGCTCTAATGCAAGAAGCACTAAGTGTAGTGGAATGGATTTGCTGACCACGACTGTTGCTATTAGTAGAGTACAAAGGTAAAGTGTAAGTAAAATTTATTTTAGGCTTGAGTGTCAACACAGACATGAGGTAGGAGGGAAAGTACTTTAAAATGTGCATTAATAGCAATAAATTGATAGCAGCTTGAAGGTAAACAGGTTTTCAGAATGTGTTCAAGCTTTGTTTTTACTAGTAATGAAATGTAAATTGGGATATGGTGCAGAAAAGTATGCCAAGTAGTGGGTTTTATTTCAGCTCATTAGTATGATGAGCATGTTTTGTTTACATGAATAAAACTCTTGTGAATGTTAATCCAAATGGGTACTTAATCAGTTTAATATGTCCATAATTATTCTTTGGCAAGAAAAACGCTACTTTTACCCTATAAAACATGTCCTTTTGTTTAGATATTAATGTTTTAAACTCATCAGATAATTTCTTATATTGGTATTTTGAGTTCACTGTAAAAATTATTGCATGGATAATAAAATCTCAGTCAGCTGTCTTGTTGGCTAACTACTTTTATGTGAATTGAAGATAATATGGTTTGCTTTGGAGCCACTTCTCTCCTAGGTTGTACAACAAAATATCAAATTCTTGTGATTTGCATTGGTTTTCAAAAGGGTTGAATTGCTTATGATAATTTCCAAGAGGTGCCTAGGAAAGTTTTTAGAAAATGGGAATACATATCTATTATATAATATAGCATTGTTAAATTTAAATATCCCCCCCCCCCGGCCATCATTTCCATTTCCATTTGGAAAACTCTACCACCTTCCCGCTTCTCATTTGTGTAATTGTTCTGGGTGCCATGCTTTCTTCTGTTAGGTCTATTTCATTGTTTTGTGTGCTGTACTCCACTTTTGTGCCTCTTTCCTTTGTGGAATCCATGGCATCTGTTTTTCCTATTTGGGACCTACTAATGACTGACAGTTTGTCCAAGTTGTCTTGGTCCTGAGCTCGGAATCTTTTGCTTAGTTGTGTTTTCAGCTAAGCAGTATCACAGTGTACTACCAGTTGTTCAGTTAGGCTATAATCAGTGTTGGAATTCCATTACTGAGTTTTTAAAATTATTTTGAAATTCTTTTGGAAATTCTTTTGGAAATGTATTTTCCAAGACTGGTGCCCATTCCCTAGTTGTGTCAGTGTGTGTTGGTAACCTGAGTGGCTAACAAGCATCAGAAAAGTGTGCACAAAATTTGAACAGATAGTTAGCTAGCCCAGTCATCTCCTTAATGACTCACAATTTCTCCAGTTCTGGTCATAGTCCTAGTGAGATCAATAGACAATAGATGTCCAATATATAGTACTTTGTCAGCATTGAGTTTAATGTTCTTCTCCCAACATCTGTGGGGCAGTTGTTGCAGTTAGCTATCATGAGACCGTATTATCTCTTCCTTATCATCTCTTTTTCTTATGACAAGAATATGCTCAACCACAATCTTGATGCCCCAGAGTCCTTCCAATACCTGCTTCAGCTTCTATGGGAAAACTGAAAATCAGCTGGGCTGATTCCCATGGGCATTCATAGCCAGTGGTTCTTGTTAAAGGATGTGGTTATCAGTGCCAAAATCTGTTCTTGACATTGCAGACAGTAAACACTTTTGCTCTAGACTGGTCAGGTAGTAGTAGCACATCCTCACTTGTTGGCAGTGGGTAGCGACTTTGTTTTTAGTCACCTATTGAGCAGTTTTGAATCAGTGCAAATTCTCAGTTTTCTTTATGGCTTCGGTGTCACTACTAGGCTCCTGATCCAGTCAGTGCTTCTTTCCACGATGCCTTTCTTCTGCAGTTTTGCTGATTCTTGGCTCCAGAAGGGCTAGCAGGATTCTTCATTTTGGAAGTCATTCTGGTTGCACCTTTAGAAATAATGAGACCAGTGCAATTTTGCCATTCTGATATTTCTGCTCAATAGATTAAAAGGAAGGACGTTACAAGTAGCTCCACAATCTATTTGGGATTTCATAGGTCCTTATTCTAGCATCATTGCAGCCAACATGGCTCACTTGTTCCCCAGTTTTTTTCTTTCCTGTGAGTCTGCAAATTAGCCAGATTTACACATAAGATTCATCTGTAGGTTCATTGCTCATCACTACATCGTCACTTCATTGACTGGATTCCCCACCCCTTTTAGCTGGGTGACTGCAACACTGATCCCTGAAATTGTTCTGCTTTCCACATCATTTACCTTCTTTCCCATAGGCTCTTTCACAGAGTGGTTTAACAGTAAGTCCCTCTGCATGGGGAATTTTGGGAATTATATCGCTGGAAGCGGAAAGGGAAGAGTTGGGGTTTTTTTGCAAGTACTGCTGGGAAGGAGGAGCAGAGGGCAGGACTGCATGCACACTTGCTGGGAAAAGTTGCACCAAGAGACCAGGGAGCATGGCTGCTCTGGACTCAAGCTCGCTGAAGCTGTGAGGTTATCAACAAGAGACACTCTTTGGGTGTGATATTCTGCACCCTCCCTGATGAAGGCTTTAGATTCTAAATATGCGTAAATAAACCATAGTTCATAAAGACACCAGCCTCCATTGTGCCTCATTTTCCCCAAGGAAACACAACCCCTGGTTATGTGCCAAGACCCATGGAATTCCTTGCTACCGCTCGGCAGAGATTGGGGTGGCCTGTAACAATATAGTTACATACATGGGGATCAGCACAGTCTCCTTATAAGATCAGGTGTTCTGATCTAGCCGCTTGCCAAGCTCTCTGCCCTGAAAACACCCTTAATATATTTTTAGACTATCCATATTGAAAATGGAAACCTTGCACGATCACTGTCTAGCCCAGGGGTCTGCAACCTTTAAGACAAAAATAGCCACTTGGACCCGTTTCCAAAGGAAAAAAAACTGGGAGCCGCAAAACTCGTCATTATAAAAATAACTTTTTTGTCACTTTTTTTAATTATTTCTTTGTTTGACCCCTCAGAATTACTCCTCCTCATAGAAATAAACGTTAAATTAACAAGTTACCTTTTTTTGTGTATGTGTTCTTCACTCCCCTTCAAAACAGTGACCAGCGTACATGTCCCTTACAATGTAGCGGGCGGGTGGGAAGGTGACGTCGGGACGGTGCGTGACTAACGCACGCACCGCCCCCATGCGACGTCACAGCCAGTACAGTGCCCGCCACAGTGGGGAGTGTCGGGGCGCACAATGCGCCTCCTCCCCTCGCTAGTATCCGCCCCGGAGCTGCGGCAAAGGTGTAAAAGAGCCACATGCGGCTCCGGAGCCGCGGGTTGCAGACCCCTGGTCTAGCCAAATGTCAGGCAAGAGGTCTTCTCTTCATTGTTATATGCCTTATGTATTGTGTTTATATTCTTCCTGTAGTTGCTTTGTTATAGAATAATTAACAAATGCAGCATTCATTTGTAATGCCATGAAAATGCTGTGAATTAGCAAGCTTTGCTTCTTTTTCTTTTTCCTTAAAGTGTTGAAGGCCCCAAACTGTTCTTACTACTTGTTCTGAAGATAAATTAGTGTCTTCTAAATAATGCAGTGAACCCTAATTCTCTTTGATTAGTATCGAGTTAGATGATAGCGACCCATTGAAATTGGTCATCAGCATAAATAATGAGTGAATGAACTGATAAAATGCAAAGTCGCCAGCCATCATAAATCAAATGAAATCCACTTTCTCTGGAAGTCACTGAAATTAGAAGTCCATGCTCCTATTAATTATTTTGCCTTCTGAAGACGACAGTGTTATAAATCAGCCTTGAAAGGCACTTCACTTGCGAAGCTGAAGGAGTAAGCTTGCCTGCAAATTGTTTTGTATACTCACCTAATTGTTTCTTAAGTAATCCACCTTTTTATAACATGGCTGCTGAACAGCTAAAAGTACCAAATTGGGCAGATTAACAAAAGCAGTGCATGACCTACATTTCTATGTGCTTTTAGGATAACGGGATACCCCATCTCTTCCAATAGGTGCACTGCAACTATTTCCTATAGCTTTGTTGGATTGAGGTACTGGTAGCTGGTGTTCAATTTATACTTCTGGATGTTTCCATCTTTGATTGAACATCACAGTAGCCTTTGGGGCTCCTCAAAGAGGAGGATATATGCAAGAGACAGGGAGAGAGAAAGGGTGCGTTGCTAGTCCCCCTACCATTTTTGACACTTAGAAATTTAACTATTTGCAGCTGTCCAAACAATTATCAATTTCTCCTTTGGTTTAGTTATTAAATGCTTTTAAATATATATGAGTGTTTAAAGAAACAACAGAAAAAGGGATTACAAGTTGAGAATTTTAATTTAACTCATTTCAAAATCCAATTAGTATTTATCCAAACAACACTTTCAAGCATCTCATATCAGTTCTGGGTGAAGTTTGGATCAAAGTGTTTCTGAAAAATTGATGGAATAACTTTGTGTGGCTAGAGTGGAAAAACAATAACAACTAGAGGCTTCCATGGCAGACTGGCAGCCATTTAGCCAGTGCCCAAACAAAGATTCTACAGGACAAACTGTACCTGCTGCATTCCGTAATATATGGTTGTTGTAATGTTTTCCTTCTTATTGATATTAGCAACTTTCAGTCTCTCTCCAATGTTTGTATGAATGTTACATCACTGTTACTGTTTGGGTTGGGGAAAGGGGGATGTGGGGATGTTCAGTTTGTATTGGTGACATAAAAATCTGAGAAAGCTATTAAGTTTATATACATTTTCTGTAGTGCTTCTGTGCTTCATACAACCCACAAGGCATTTTTTGTTTCCTTCCTCTTTTTATTCAGCCCCACAGACATTAGAATCCCAAGAATGTTAGCTTACTTTTTCAAAGTTTCTATTCCCCCAGGCTGCACATGTATGCTTGGACACATTAAGGGAGAAAAGTTTATAAAAGTCTGAAAGTGGGAGATGTATAAAAAGAACTTCCAACTTTTTTGTTTGTTTCTCTCATGAGTATTTCTTACCAAAGGAAACGAAGACTGAGTGAAAAGGTTCTTTTGTTACTTTGTAGTGCACAGAACGTCTGTGTGCATAAACTCTGTAACTCATTTTTTTCGGTGTTTTCCTAAACTTACTGGAATGAGGCTGTTTTGATGGGAAGGTATATTTTCATACTAGTTCACAGCTGGCATATCATCAATTCCAAATAACAATGGCCACTCATCAGATGAGTCATTTTGTCTTATATGCCTCCCCATTTAATGGATAAAGAGGTCAGAGCCATTTTGGGTAAAGACAGCTAGACAATCTCTGCAGCTGTACCCAGGCCCAAGACTGTTATAGATTTATAAATATAGCCTCAGCTATTGGTAGTTGAAGGTAATCACTCCTGCAAAGTTGCATTGTTTTATGTATATCTATATGTAAATAAAAGGGTTTTGAGCCAGCTGGACTCTTGAGCCCTTCAAAGTCTAAATCCTCTTCTTGCACTAATTGAAAAGGCGGCAGCAAATAATCAGCTTCTGTTTCCTGTCAGGCCAATTTGAAACAGAGTTTTGTAAAAACATTCAGACAAAGAAAAAATCCAAACGGGTGAAGCAGAGAGGATTCCAAATTGCAGCAGGTACAGTAAAAACAAACAAACCCCATCTAATGTTTGGTTTATTCTTTGTGGGTTTATGGTTATCCATGCAATTTGGTACTTAGCAAAAGGAGTGATTGATTTTAGTGTTTCCAAAGCCCACTTCTCACAGCACAGTATGTGTTCACTGTAGTATTGATTGTGTAATAAATGAGAGGAAAGGGTTTTTAAAAGATGGCGTCCTGCCAACTTGAGGGGGGGGGGAGAAAACAGAAAGATTTGAGTTGAACTCTAGAAATGGAAGACATGCTAAAGTTATGTGTTTGGTTTTTTTGGATTTATTTCAGTGGGGTGGGGTGTCAGACATTAGCTGTAACAGAAAGAACATGTGGTTGAGTAGTAAACAAGCAAAAGTTGAAATCAATACAACACAACATGGCTGGGTTCGCACGCATGGTAAGGCAACCTATGGTTTACCCAGGACCATGTGGACATACGACTTCCCAAAAAGGAGCTCACAGTTGCTTTGCTTCTCCTTTTTATGCCTATGCCACACAGAGCCAAGCCAACATTTGGCTTAGTGTGTCATCCAAACCCTTACTCATGATTCAGTTCTTTCCCCACTAACCATGAGCTGTAGTCAAAGTTGTTATTGTTCTATGTCAGTTTTCTGTTGAACCCTGACTGTTGAATTCACCTTCGTATGTGTGTTGGTAGCTTAACTGATTTATTTACAAGGTTATATACAGCTACATCATAGCGCTACTAACACTGGCCTGCACAGAATTTCTCCTAGTATAGTGGTACCTCGGGTTAAGAACTTAATTCGTTATGGAGGTCTGTTCTTAACCTGAAACTGTTCTTAACCTGGAGCACCACTTTAGCTAATGGGGCCTTGCGCTGCCGCCATGCGATTTCTGTTCTCATCCTGAAGCAAAGTTCTTAAAGACTCTCCTCCTGCAAGAGAGGGGAGTGGTTGTGGTCGGAAGCCGGACTCCGCCTCAAGCAGGGGGCGTTAGCCCCCTGCCTCCCACTCACCTGGCTGGCCTACGCCCATGGGCAGGCACCCAACCAGGTGCCTGCGAGGGGGCGTGTTTAGCAGCCCAAATTGCTGCGGCACCAGCCTTCCAGCCTCACTTTTCGTCGTCCCGTCGCACCCCTCCACCTTTGGGCTCGGGTGGCGGTTAGGCATTGGAATAATGTGTTGTGGTGTGTCGAAGGGCTAGGTGTGGCCATAGCCTATGCCTTCAATTTTTGGGTATTCCATTAAAGGAATCTGGCGGTCGTGTATTCTGTCCGATGCCTGCTTGGCGGGAGGCCATGGCACGACCCTCGGTGACATCAGGGGAGAGCTTATAGTTGGATTAGCATCAACAGGCTCCACCTACTGGTGAATAAACCCCTCTATTAGACTCACCCCTCTCCGAGGGGTGGAGTCAGCTGACGTAATCCAATGCCTAAGCCAATACCTTTTCACTTGCTGTAATCAATAAAGTTGTGGCCTTTTCTTGCCCATTAACCTTATATCACGTGTCCTCGTGTTTTCATTCCACTACGCGGGGATCGGGTCCTCGAACCACAACCTGAGGTAATATTTCTGGGTTAGTTGAGTCTGTAACCTGAAGCGTATGTAACCTGAAGTGTATGTAACCCGAAGTACCACTGTATAAGAGATGAGAGGAAAGAAGTATTCTGCAGGCTAGAGTGTACTTAAGGGGACAGTACATGCTACACAATCAGTGATTGGGGTGGGGGGGAAACTTGATAGACGATAAAACAGATTTATTACAGTATGTGTGTTAAGAAACATAGCAGCATGAATGATCAGAACAGAAGCAAGGGGTTTTTGGATCTGGAGGGTGATTTGTATATTCTATCCCCAACCAAGTTTATTTGTATGGGAGAAGAAATTAATAGGTATTCCCTTGCTCCTCCCCCCTTCATATATATGTGTTTGTGTGTGCGCATGCAAGCACACAAGCACCAAATGATCTTCAGCAAAATAAAATGGAAGATCAAGGGAGGAATATTGCAGAAGCTGATAAAGAAAACAAGGGGTTAAATTTTTAATACATTTTTGTTCTCATCTTTCTTTTTTTTAAAGCCCTTGCATGTAAATATATATATTATGTATGCTGAGTATAAAGATAGCTCTGTCCTACCATATTGATTTATTAGATTCTCTGACATTTTAGTTGTGGTCGTTATGTTATATTTATGAGATGAATGTTGGATTCCCTCATTATGTTATCCTCATTTATTTTACATACTTTTATGGCTGGTTGTGCTCAGCTTTACATTTAAAGCTTTATTGCGGCTGTTAGTGTGGAGGGGAGGGGGGGAAGCAAGTGCTTACGGATGGGGAATTTACATGTTTACTGTCGTAATCATGATTTATTTAATCTTTACATATAAATATAAGGAGTCCCCCCCCCGAAATAAAATATTAGTTGATTTCTAGGTCTGATCTTTCCCCCAGTGGGGGATTTTCTGTTGTGGGTGAGGTTTTGTGAAAAGGAGTGTGTGTGTGTCTGAGAGGAGTGGGGGGTTATGGCAGGAAAAGCATGTTAAGGTCCAAAAACAAGCACTCTTTCCCAACAAGGTGTGCCTTTCTGACAATCAACCTTTCAGTCATTGTACTATACAGTTTTCGTTGGAGGCTACACTGAATTGAGTTGAAGTAGCTTAGTGGTAAAGCACATTTGCATGCAGGAGGTCCCAAGCTGAGGACTGGCAAAGATTCCTGTCTACAGTGCGGGAGAGCTATTTCCAGTCAGTGTCCATAATACTGAGCTAGATGGGTCAATGTTCTGACTTGGAATGAAACACCTTCCTATGTTCCCATTGGTGCAAATCAGGGAGGTCAGCCAGATAATGGCCAAAGGTATATATCTAATATTTATGGTGTTCTCAAATAGGCAATCCCCATGCAGCTGCACTGTGTTGGAGAGGTTTTCTGGGCATGTTCTAGTTTGGACGCACAGTGAAGCTTCACCATGAAGCTTCACCATTGCCACAGATGAACTTAAAACGTGTGCTAGGACACCTCTAGCATCTCCCTACATCTCTGCATCACAAGGCAAGAGGGATAGTGGGGTTAAGGTGTCCTTTGATCTCTGCACTGAGGCACTCCCATGTTCCTTGATACACTGCCCACATGTGATAGTTATGCGTATTTTCATTGTTTTCCGAAACATGCAGAGAATAAACCTGCTAATTTCATTACACTAATGTTCCAAGGCATGGTATTAAGTCAATTTTCATAAAGGTTCGCACGCCAAGGCTGCTATAGCTTTTTATACTTTGTTCACCCTGAAAACGAGTGTCAGCTAATTTGAACTAGGAGTACTGGGGTTGGAATATAGGGGATCAATAGCAGAACAGCAGCATTGATTTCTTTTCTTGGGGATCCTCTGTGACCTGCGTCACTTGTGCTGTGCAGCTGCCTTATAGACAAGGTACAGAAATATATTAGTTCACCTTACCTTTTTTTCATCCTCTCCCGCTGACTTACTCAAGCTCAAATAGTAAGCCTTTTGGGGAACTGAAAGTTGAGAATCTTGTAATTTATTACCTACTCACCACTCCTCCTGCTTCTCCCTGTGTATTTCTGACTGGTGTTATTGCTACCAATTATATATATATATTTATAATCCAGGACCTCAAATGATTTCATTAAAGGAATATGAATTTCTGCAATCAATTAACTGTTTTCTCCAATGCAATATTAGTTACAAATTAGGAGACAGACCTTAGATTACCAGCAACTAATGAGTAATAATATTGTTGTTGTTTAGTCGTTTAGTCGTGTCTGACTCTTCATAACCCCATGGACTAAAGCATGCCAGGCTCTCCTGTCTTCCACTGCCTCCCGCAGTTTGGTCAAAGTCATGCTGGTAGCTTCGAGAACACTGTCCAACCATCTCATCCTCTGTCTTCCCCTTCTCCTAGTGCCCTCAGTCTTTTCTAACATCAGGGTCTTTTCCAGCGAGTCTTCTCTTCCCATGAGGTGGCCAAAGTATTGGAGCCTCAGCTTCACGATCTGTCCTTCCAGTGAGCACTCAGGGCTGATTTCCTTAAGAATGGATAGGTTTGATCTTCTTGCAGTCCATGGGACTCTCAAGAGTCTCCTCCAGCACCATAATAATATTATTATTCATCCTCTCCCACTAACTCACTGAAGCTCAAATAGTAAGCCTTTTGGGAAATTGAAAGTTGAGAATTAATAATATCAATACAAGTATATGCTGCAGACAAGCCACTAACTGTATCCAAGGTTTGTTTTTGGTTTTACAGCTCTTCAGCTTGTCCTGGAGGAGACAAACCACAAGTCTGGGTTCAGATGACTTGCTAAGCCAAATCGTGGCTTTATCTCACAGCAAAACAACAGCAGCAGGAGAACCAGGGGGAGAAAGCAGTAGCTGCAAGCTCTGGTTTCGCTTAGCACTACATGTGAACCACCATTATATACTGTGTAGTATATAATCCACTATTCAGTAACAGCAATGTACGATATCTTCACATTAGATCTGGAAATGTTTTACAACTACATGGATTTCAGTGGTCAGGATCCAGAATCTCAACGCCTTTTCTCCATCATTGCTCTTCGTTGTATCTATGCTCCCACTGTCTCCAGTTTCTGTGCTCTTTGCTTCAGTTCTCACAAAATATTTTTTTTAAAAAAGAATTATAGGCTTCTAATGCTGATCTTAGAAGTCAGAAATGTCATCGCCAAAAGAGATTCAGTTAGCATTATGATGGTTTATGTGCTGAGAGGGAGAATTACATGGCTGGTGAGGAGATGGGAATGGGAACGTAAACTGAATGGATAATAGATCGAGAGCAAAAGGGAAGTAAGTCAATACTAGTACGTCTATGTAAATGACCTGGGTTGGACTAGATGACCCTTCTGGCCTTTTCCAACTCAATAATTCTATTACTCTACCAGTTGCTGGGGAGTAAACGCCAAAGAAAGGCTTCTGGGGAAACCATCAAGCTGGCAGTGGTTGGATTAAGGATGGAAATGTTGGTCTTATTCAGCAAAGTACTCATAGAGACATAAAACCATAGAGTTGGAAGGGACCTTGTTCTCAACATTGCATTTATACTGAGCTCTGGATGGTACCAATGGAAATAATGCAAGTCAAAAGTACAAATTATTGAAACAGGCACCAATTTTCACTATGCAGTCAGGTTTCACAACACTGGTTGCTTTTAATTTTTCACTTGCCCTAACTCTCAAGCTTTTTATTAGTAACAAAAATCCTGAAAATATAAAATAAATTCAAGGCTTATAGAAAGCCAGTGCTTTACTAATGTCATACTAATTAACAATCAGTGAATGCCTGCCCAATTTTAAATTATTATTATTTTTAATGGCTGGAACAGGAAGTTGGCAGGGGCTTGTGAGCCTAAACGGGTTATGTGACATATTGGATTTGGACCTGGGAGACATCGCACAGTGTTGTTATTGCTGTGACTGTTCGTGTGAGCCATGTGCTGTGCTTTGAATTTAACTATTAAGCAGTGGTTAAAATTAATCCTGTGTGCAGTTACCAAGGGAGAAAGCAGGCCAGAGATGTCAATAAATCTAGTGTGGTTTGAAGCAAATGCCACTAAATCTTAGTTCTTTGACTGCTCTCTGGTAGTGTCAAGAGCTGCTCAGCAAGACGAATTTGAGGGAGGGGTGAAAAAGGTACGATATTAAACCACAGCGCTGATAAGTTTAGTTAAGAGGCAGGAGACGTGTCCTTGCAGTGACATTCAGTGGCTGATATTTGTTTCCCTTTAAATAATATGCTGTACATCTGTGAGAATGATGGCTTGGTGTTTGTGACATTGCATCTCCACCAAGGTTACTGGCTCCAGGACAAGCAGTCTCTCCTCTCTCCCTTTCTCTCACACCCTGTCAATAAATATCCACTTGTCTGAGAAAGTGAGATACAGATTTTACAGCTGACACCAGAGCATCTTCATTTCCAGAAGCAATGAGTTTCAACACGTGAACGTGAAAGAGTGAGTGTGCGTGTATGTGTGTGTGTGTGTTTTGGGGGCGGGAGGAATAAAAGGGATATATCTTTCAAGTCTGTCTTGTCAAAGAAAACCGTTATCCCTTTCAGACAACAAAGCTCAAAGTCTGGCAACTATGCAACCAGGCTACCTTCCCCCCCAAAAATGAACACTCCCACCTCACTACCATTTAATAAATGCTTATTGTTAAACCCTAGTTTCTATAGACCACTGTGTTTAAATTTTATCTCCTTTAGAATGAAGCATTCTTCACAGCTGGCTTTTTTTAATGCCAAAAACGAAGGCTGCCCAACTCATCATGTCCAAAATAAAAGGCTATTTGATTGTGTTCTCAGGTTCTGGGTATTCTGAATCAGAGTTCGGTTCACCCACAAACTTCATGAGAGCACTGTTCCAATCCATGGTAGTGTAGTAATGGCAAAGGGTGGAAGGTCTACCATTGTAACAGGAAAGATGCATCATTTTAGAGTCATAGCTCTAAAAGCATCACAATGGGAAATCTCTAATGAGGCACTTTTTTGTGCTGCTTTTTGTTTTCCCACTAGTGCACAATGCACAGATAATGCTTTTACCCTCAAGTGTCCCAATATTAATTCACCCTCAAACAGTTATGCACAAACTTCCAGTTGCTGCGAAGAATATCGTACTTATACACGTTTCTTATTTATGTTCTTATTTTAAAAATTAATGTGGATATCTAACCCCCCCTTTCCAAATCCTTGCATTGTTCTTTGGGATCCTAGTGGCACATTACTGCATTTGATTAAGTACACTCACTCCCACAGGTGAACTTCTGTGTACTTGACACTGCTGTGGTGAGATGTTCATAGGGCCTCTGTAGAAATTGCTGGCTGTCAATTCATGTATTTGAAGACCCACCAAGAAATGTGGTAGCAACAGAGGTTGGCTATGGCCTTGAATCAGATGGTGCTTTTTTTAAAAAGCACTCTTCAGTGTAATGACTGAGAATAATAAAAATAAAAGCTTTTAGGAGTGGATTGAATGGCAGCCCATCCTCTGGCCCCATGGTGGGCCAGATGGTGGGCCAGAAGTGGGGAGCAGCTGCATGTAAAAAACAGGGATGAATTCTCATATGGAAGATAAAGCCTCCACTGGCTGTGTGTCCACAGCAAGTTCCAGATGGGGAACAGCAAGTGAGAATGACAGAGAAGGATAAATAGAATACTTGTGGGTGCAGGTAGAGGTAAGGAAAATGGAGAGGTGAGAGAAGGGGGCAGGGCAGGAAGTAACGGCAGTATAGAGACAGAACAGAATGGAGAGAGAAAAGAAGACCATAGCTGCCAAACCTTTCCCAAGAGAGAAGGGGAACAGATTAGCAGAAGAATAGGTGAAGGTCTGTGGCAAGCCAGTGGTGAGCCAAGAAGGTGGAGACAGAAGAGTGAGGTAGGCGGGGTCCCCACTGTACGGAAAACTCAGGAATTACCAGGAGGTAATGAACCTTTTGTAATAAGCGAAATACAGATAGTGTCTTGGATCAACCGAGTCAGGGGCTCACCAGGTGAGGAGCTTGCCAGACATCTGGGGGTCTGAAGATTCTTGGAACTTAAAAGAGAAAGGATGGTAGCACTCACAATAGCTTTAAAAGATGAAAATACATATATTATACAATCAAAATACCACAATAAAATGCATAACCGGAACAGAGCATAAAATCTAACAGGAACCACAATCCATTCATTTAGTTGAATTAAAAGCTAAAACCATCTTTAAAAGCTAAAACAGGTCAGCTGCAATAAAACACAGCAGCAGAAATTAGTAAGAGTCTTATATGATGTTAAATCAGAATGGGAGGGTGTGAAAAAGGTTCAAGAGAACAAAACAGCCTGGTGCTGAAAAGACAGTAAGGTTGGTGCCTGGCAAGTGTCTCTAGGCTGGGCTTTGGTCCCCAAATGCTGTTGGACTACAACCTCCATCATCCCTAGCTAGCAGGACCAGTGGTCAGGGATGATGGGAGTTGTAGTCCAACAACATTTGGGGACCCAAGGTTGAGATATGCTGCCCAGTGGTGAAGTTGTGGAAGTGCTCAATCAACATCAGGAATAGATGTTAGGGCTAGCAAACTGAAGCCCAGTCCAGACAAGGTGGAAATGGTGAATGGTTCATTCTCCTTTGGTGGTTTTCAACTCATTCTGGATGAGTTTTCACTCCCCTCTTTAAAAGATTGTTTGAGGGTATGCTTTTAGCTAGGCCTTGTCTTCAGATGCTCAAGGGACATCTGTGGTGCAAAGTGCCTTCCTCCAGTTGTGGCCTCTTCTCAGGAGGAGGCCTTGCAGTCAGTTACACAAATTTTTATTGTGTGCTAAGCAAGAAATAGCAGCAGTATTGATGATATGGGCTATTCCTATTAAAACTGGATTCATATGGTATGAGCTAAGATTTAACAAAACTGACAAATGGTCAAAGTCAGAAATGGAAGCGAGTTATTTTGTACCTCTGAAACCAAGTGGAAATTATTTATTTATATTGTTATTTAGGCAGCTAAGAAACAGTGCTTCATCGCTAGGCATCTCCTTAAGTTCAGTTTTGTTTTGTAAGCAATTTATTATTTTTGAAGTAAGTATAATAGAGTTGCTTTTTGTTTATTTTTAATTAGCAGCTATAACTGAATTGTGATTAATGTAATTGTAGTTATTGTAAAATCTGCTCTTTAAATTAAAAGGGGGTGGCAAGTGTGGTTGTCGATGGCACTAGTTGCCATTGGTGAACTGCAGCCTTCACTGAACGAGGTTGGCTGCCTTATTTGCTCTTGTTTTAGAGTACTTGACCATAGGTCCACCATCCATTTGATAACTGAGAGTAATCCTGTGTGTTCAGGTTATCAAGTGATCATTATAATTACCATCTGAATAATGCAGAATGTGAACTCACCTGCAAATGCAAAATGGAACTGCATTGCATTGGGTTGTATTTGCTAGCCGAAAAGGAGTTGTGTAGTAAACAGATGTTTTCACCATGTTGCTTGTGAATTTTCACCCACTCTTCCTCCAACCTGACTTGGTCTCCCTGCCCCAGTGTTCTAATTTAGAACACTGTAAATAGCTGGAACCCATTATTGCTATTTTCTCCCAACTATTTTGTTTACACCTAACAGGAACTATGCATATAAACTGCAAGAGTGGTAGCATTATGAATTACTGCCAAGCACATGAATTTTAAACAATGGCATGAGACCCTGACCCAGTTAGCTGCTCTTTAAGGTGTAATGTTACAGTTGCTAGTGCTGATTTAGGAGGTTGTTTTCTACATTTTGGCATAGGCCTAACAGACCCTATGGCACAAAAGACGGCCTTGACAGTTTATGGAGTCTAATAATTAGGTTTCAGGGAGACTAATCACACATTTTCAACTGCTGTTTTGGAAAAAAAAAAAAAACCACCGACTAGCTTGCTACAGATGTTACTCTCCTTTAATTTACTGATGTGCAATTTTCTGTTCATAAGTCAAGGGAAAATGAGAGGAGCTGCTCCCATTGAATATATGGTATTTTAATTGACTTACTGGAATAAAGTTTCCAAATGGGCACATAGGGAGTTTCTTACATTATTTCCTTTTGTGGTAAGATTTATTGTTGCCTCCCTGTACACCACTTTGTACTTTCAATCACACTATATTCAGAATCCGTAATGGTTTACCTACTTACTGGTATAATTCTAAATTCATAGATTGCCAAGGAATGTGTGTGCTTCATAATCCTATATTTCATGGACCATGTATCAAAGTATTATCTCAGTCTTTAGCTATCTTTCTTTTGTTGTAGATGTGGTTAATAGAAGAAATAAAACCATGTCATGGCAGTACAATAAACCTTCTGCTCACCCCGTAACTGAATTATTCTTGCTAATTACAATAAACATTCATTTTCTTGTTTATATGTACAGCCCCTCAAACTTTAAATTTATCATTTCCCCCTCTTACTTTTGATGTTGCTGATGCACATTTAATCTCAATTTATTTCAGCTAGTCATAGTTACAAAGCTTAATGTATGGAAACAATATTTATTCCAGCAGCTGTTAAAAATCTGTGGATATGGATTAATGTCAGCTTCTAAATGTGCAGTACTTTAGTTAATTCCATCCAAGGACAGATGATATCATCCCGTAGGAAGGAATATATTAGAAACTGTCAGCTGAAAGGTAGTAAAAGTAGGTGATATGTTATAAGGAGGACTAAAAGGTCATTCAAAGAAGAGATATTGCTAATAAGTCAATTAAAATTTTTGCACTGACATTTTACAAATTTCTGGGTAAGCTCTAAAACATTTTCTAAGCTAGCTAAATTCACATCCCAGATTGGAAAAACAGAAGTCATGTCTGTTCTCCACAAATCCTACAGGAGATGAGTGAATTGGGAGTCAACTACCCTGAGATAATCCACTTGGAGGGAGTGAAAAGAGGGGGAGGGGTTGATCATGCAACCTGCACAACTAAATCAGCATATTATTGAAGAGCTGTGCTTTGAAGTGGGGGCCCTGAGCCTTAAAATGCCATTGGTTATTTTGTGAAAACAGAGACTATCCGATTTTGGATAGTCCCATTTTGGACTCTTTTTAGCTAGAAAGCTATCTCATCCTATTCTGCCCTTCAGTTTTATTATGACTCTCTTCCTGTGCACAGGGTTTCTCGCAGCTTCTTGCCAGAATCAGCTGGGATTTGAACCATGATAAGACACTCTGGTCTAGACAGACTGCAGAGGCTTACACTCCCATGTTCTGCACTGGTGCTCCCTGACCTCACCTTCACTATAAATGCTTCTAAGTTTAGCCTTAGTGGTATTGTTTGGATGGGTGAGGATTGCTATTAAGGCACCAGTCAGGCATTGCTCACCTGGCTTACTCCCTCCATGCCCAGTACCTGCTTTCTTCCCAACCCGTTTTCCAGCATATCTGCTGCCTTCTTGTTTTCTTATCCTTTCATGCTGATCCTCAGCAGCAAAACACCTGGGTCATTGGACAGCCACCTTCAGAGGCTTACAGATGTTAAGGGGGTTGCATGTCTGCCATCAAAAGGAGCAGCCCTGCTTCTCTACCCTGTTGTTCCTTTCCCTCTCCACCCTCCTGGTAACTAGTGGTATTGTCGCATTGTGAGTTTATTCAATTCTGCAAATGACAAGCAATAAAGTAGGGAGCGGGAAAATTTTCAGTACAGTGATATCACATCCTATGCAATTTACAGGATGTTGGGGTTGCTTAGAGCCTGGTAACCTGAACAGATGTATGAAGGAAATTGAAGTGTGCTTCCGACTAATACTTTTATTTGAATGTTTACATTGATCAGTGCTCATTTTGTTTAAATACTGAGACTACTGAGAAATGGGCAAAATTAAGTCACAGGAAATTATTATTTTGTTTATTTACAGTTTTGTTCAAGAATATTAAAACAGTAGACAAATAGTATTAAAAGAGCCGAGACAGAGGAGGGAAAACAGCATTAAAAGCAGATCTAAAAGTATATTGCAAAGTCTTTGTTTTCTATATTCCACCTCCTCGTCCTTGTCTGCACTTTTATGTGTATCCTTAGCCTTGTTAACTGCACACTTGAAATTTCCTACAATGCAGACTGCATTATATTCTGTTCCTCATATTGGAAATTTCATCAGTATTCTACTTTCCCACAGAACTGGAAAATTGCCAGCTATCCAGAGATGTTAAGCAACCATTTATTCACCTAGAATCTTAGAATCATATAATTGTAAAGTTGGGAGGGACTCCAAAGGTCATCTGGTACAACCTTGTGCAGTGCAGGAATCTCAACTAAAGCACCCATGAGAGATGGCCATCCACCCTCTGCTTAAAAAACCTCCAAGGAAGGAGAATCAATCACCTTCTGAGGGAGTCTGTTTTACCGTTGGACAGCTTTTACTATCAGAAAGTTCTCCCTGATCTTTTGTCAGAATCTTCTTTCTTGTAACTTGTAGCCATTGCTTTGGGTCCTACCCTCCAGAGCAGGAGAAAACAAGCTAGCTCTATTTCCCATGTGACAGCCCTTTAGATATTTGAAGATGGTTATCGTAGCTCGTCTCCATTTCTTCTTATCCAGGCTAAACATACCCAACTCCCTCATCTGTTTCTCATAAGGCCTGGTTTATAGACCTTTGATTATCTTAGTTGCCCTCCTCTGCACACATTCCAACTTGCCAATATCCTTCCTAAATTGTGGTGTCCAGAACTGGGCACAGTACTTCAGGTGTGGTCTGACCAAGGCAGAATAGCTGGACCTTTTCTTTCCTTCATCAGGGCAATATATATCTGTTGATGCAACCTAGAATAGCATTAGCTTTTTTTTTGCTGCTGCGTCACACTGTTGACCCTCCAATGTCCTGGTGATGAAAATCTGGATCTCCCCCCCACACACACACATGTGTGGCACAACCTCAGTCATGGCAGGCAAGTGGAAACTCCACCTTCGGGGCACTCTACCTGCTGCTCCCCTCCACTACTGCCAGGTACTGAGCATGAAAAAGAGGGCCAGTTTGGCCACCCCCTCAATCCCAGTGCACCTCTTTTGGAGCTGGATTCTGTATCCATCCACCCCTGCAACCTGGTACTCAAGCTCAATGGAGCTGTTACCTGGCATACCCTGGTAGAAGCACTCCCTGCACCTGGCCGGCAGCAAGAAGGTGAACTTGACCTGCGGGGGTGGGTGGGCATCACTGAGGACCCTTTGGGGCATCTCTAAAAGCAGCAGCAGCCTGAGCACAGAGGCCATGGCTGCCATCATTGTTGGGGTCCTTCCTGACACCAGAAGGAGAGCAAAGCTGAGCTGCCTGCTTGGAAAAGAAGAGGTAGTCATACTTGGGAGGGAGGCAGGCGACAGAGGAAGCACGGAATGCAACTCCAGCCTTCCACTATGATGGCACTGTGCACATTTCTCTTGTTACAAGCGTATTTGGATATTGCTCTCTTGTGTGAACTTGTGCAAGAGTGTGGGACCAAAAGATGGGATATTACAGGATCCAATCAGCAGCCGGGGGGGAGGGGCTTCTGTAATTGTGCTAAATCAGGACTGTTGATGGGTATGTATTTGTGCAGTTGGTTGTTCCATCCAGGTGTAGAACCTTACATTTTTCTCTATTGACATTCATTTTGTTAGTTTGGAGCCAGTTCTCCAATCTGTTAAGGTTATAAAGGTAAAGGTAAAGGGACCCCTGACTGATAGGTCCAGTCGCAGACGACTCTGGGGTTGCGGCGCTCATCTCACTTTACTGGCCAAGGGAGCCGGCGTACAGCTTCTGGGTTATGTGGCCAGCATGACTAAGCCACTTCTGGCGAACCAGAGCAGCGCATGGAAACACTGTTTACCTTCCCGCTGGAGCAGTACCTATTTATCTACTTGCATTTTGACATGCTTTCAAACTGCTAGGTTCAGGTCATATTGAATCTTAATTCTGTTTTCAGTGGCATTAGCTACTCCTTGCTGCTGTCAATGTGGTAGGCAGAGATTTGATAGGGTAAGACCCTCACTTCCTAGGCTGGGCTGCTCCATGGTGTTTTTGTTGTCATACGCCAGACTTTGCTAGGGAGCCGAGTTTGTGTTCCCTATCTCACTCCAAATAAAGTCTTTGGTAATGTCTGAGCATGACTTTAACAATTGAAAGTGTTTGTCTACCCAGTGAAACCAGAAATGGCCATTGCTTTATCATAAAATAAGCAGAGACTTTGTCTAAATCATGCAGCTCTTGGAAAGCCAAATTAATTAGGCGGAGATGTTGCAGATTCTATGAATGAAGCCATATTTTTTTTGCTGCTTAAGCTACTTTAAAAGTTTAGCATATATATATAATTGGAGTACTTTTGAAATGTGCTTCAACCCTGGCAGTGAGTGATTTAGTCTACCATATTGCTGTTGCAGCAGTTTTTTTTAAAAAAAATATTCTATCTGGAAAAGTCAATTTTATTTCATTCTTTTCATCCCTTTAAGTCTTCGTTGTATTATTATTGATGCATATAAGTGGCTTTTTAAAACATCTAGCCATCTGTGTAATATGTTTCTAATGATCACTCTTGATCAGATATTTTTCAGTATGCCACATTTATATTAATCAAAGAGTGAACTGTTTTCTAAATTAATGATCTTAAAGTTGTTCCAGCTTGATAGTAGTGAAGGGGTAGTGGTGTCTTTGAAAAAGATTTGTTAACTTTAAGGACTTTCTGTTTCAAACAGACTCCTTTTGGGAATGAGATGCACCTGCTAGAAATTGAGTGCAGCAATACAAATTTATAGTGTTAATTTTTCACTCTTTCAATGTCCAGGTGCTGCTGCTACTGTAGATGTAACCAGAGGTCAGTTTAATTAAGATCGGCCCTTTTCTCTTGGATGATATGTGCTGAATTGTTGTCACTGAGGGCCTCTCATCCTTTTGTCCAATGCCAGCAGCTGGTGACAGCTTGGCAAATTATGAGTTTCTTGGCTTAAAACAGACTAAATTGCAGACAAAACAAGCCATCAGCTGAGTAAATACCGCACCTCTGTTTGGCTTCATGGGAAAGGAGGAGATTAGCATGAGTACTTAGTGTTCATAATTACTAGTAAGAGGCAAATAGTAGGCTCAGGCTGACTGGAGATTGTTCCATTATATCCAATTAACACCCACTTGATTGTTCTTAATTACTTGGGTTTGATGACAGCAGAGCAGACATGTCATTCTTCAAACGTACAACTACCACCTGGGTCACTGATATACCTATACACAATGATAAAACATTAAGTTCATTGTGAAAGGGCTGTTGAATATTGTGGCTGTTATGTAATCATGGGCGGCCGGGGGGGGGCGGGGAATACAGAGTCTTTTGTTTATTTCTTAGCTCTTCTTCATGAGCTTGAACTGCTAAAATGGAATTCTCTTGCGCCAACTTTCACAATGCCGGGGGGGGGGGGGATGACATAGATATTGCTGGGAGATATTCTAAAATAAAGTGCTGGTGATAATCAGAAATAAGGTTAAATTGCCTGATTTGAAACTGGCAAAATGCTGTAAATGAAGAAATGCAACTTTGGACACAGGGGACTGTTTGTTTGTTTGTTTGTTTGTTCCTTGAAGTAGATTAATTTTCACCCAGACCCAAACACTTCTTTTGAAAATTCAGAAGGCAGGGGCTTTAGATATAAATGCCACAGCCATCTTTTTGCTTGCATTGATCCCTGGGCAACAGTAAATAGAAATTAGAGTGCACTGGAGCTAAAGTTGGAAACCTCTCTGTCTTGACCCTAGCAAAAACCACTGAGCTTTTTGTGTGTATGTGTGTATTTGCTGTAACAACCCGGCACAGCCACTCTTCTGCAGTTTTATTGCCAAAGATGTGATAAAGTCAGTTGTGACGAGTGATAAAAGGACCCCCCCAACAGTTCATGTGCAACTATCCTTCCTTCCTTTTTAATTTTAGACTGTTTGCTTTAGCGATTTCCCTTTTCATTCAACTCCTGTTGTTTATAGCAGGGAACTATAAATATTTGTCCCTCTTTCAGGGAACCTCATAGAGCCAAAATATGAGCTTTTCATCTTGAGCTGAGGTTAGCTGATTTCAGTTTCATGTGGTCCAGTTTTGTTTTATTTTCGACTGAATTTTTCTTGGAATCCTTCTGAGTCCACCAGTGCTTGAAGTGTAGGATCCAGCCTCGCTACCTTTTATGCTGTGCCCTTAGCAACTTTAGAAGGCTACCAGATGGCATGAGTTGGCTGAAATGGGGGGACAAGGAAGATGGGGCTTGTGGATTTCATTTATATTTTCATTTTATTTCATGTATTTATACCCCACTTTTAGGACGTCTTAACAAGGCAGCTTACAAAAAAGTAAACTAATCAATGATAGTAAAAACAATAAAATACATACAGTGAAAGAAAGTGCAGCTAAAAGGATTCATGAAAGCCAGTCAGGACACACAATTTGTAAATTGTATTGCCTGTCTCCCCACCTCAGCTCCAAATAATTCAAGCACAAGGATCCACTAATTTGTGCTAAATTGGTAAAGAATCTAAACTCAGGACCTGCTAAAATTTAGGGTACAACTGACCTGCGCTAAATGATATTGAGTGTGTACCCTTCACAGTGCTCCATGATTTGCTTTACACTAAACCCTGATACTGAGTGTAATGCTTGAGGGACAGCGAGTTTTTGTAAAAAATGGTATCATCAAACACCTTCACTCAGTGCAATTAACCAAAGAGTATTTTCAGATATAAAGGATTTGGTTGCAATTTTCTTTATCCACCCCACCCCAGCAGTTGCTTTCCCCACTAAGTTTAGAGGGATGCCTGCTTGGTTTCATCATGGCGTCTTTTTGGGGGGGGTGTAGGAGGAAGAGAGAAAGAAAGAGGGAGATACTCATATATATTCTGTTGTGCATATAGGACATGCCATGTGGCCCTTTGAATTGAGGTCATCTCTAGTGGGATAGCTTTATAATTCCAGTCTGTTCCTTCCTTACAGGTGTCCTTTAAGGGAGCGCTTTAAGAAGTTGTACTCAATTTAACTTAAGACATAAGTAATTCTTCCAATTCAGAGCAATGGCTCAGAACCTTGGTAAATGTTCGTCGTGCTAAGAAATTATCTTAGTTTCCTTCCCAAATGTTATTTTATGTATTACTGTAATGGCCTTGTTCTCTTAGATATGGTCGAATGGCTATATCAACCAGGCTCATTTTCATGCTGTCTCTTGGTTTCTTCAGTTTGCCATTCAGGCATCAAAGCATGTACCTTTATCTAATTTTCCTGGAATCTTTCTCTCCCTCCCCCCACCCCAGGTGTAGTTCCCACATTTATACCTAGTACAACATACCACTTAAGGGGAGTAATATTGGGCCCTGTCAGAGGTACATGGAAGAGGACATGTCTGGTTTCATTTGCTGATCTTTTCTTGCGTAGATCTACTTGCGTCTGTGGGCCCACCCTTCTCCAATTTGTACTTCTGATAAAGTTCATCCCAGATTACGTTTGTTGTTAGTCTTCAATGAAACTTCACTGCTTTTGTTTTTTTCAGAAGACAAAGAAATTTAATTCCACAAAACCCTTAAAACCCTCAGTCAGTCACTATTATAAATTCCTGTATATACTACTGTTACTTAATAACCACACATATTAAATGAAAATATTTTTAAAAACATGTATTTTGAAAATGTATAGTACAATGTACATACAAAGCACGGTATTTCAGAGTGTGCACTGTACCAGAATATAAATGGTATTGCTTATAAATTAACAGCAAAGGGCATTCTTCAGTGTGAAATACCTAAAGAGGAGGAAAATGTTTTCACTTTGCCAGTTCATGATGAATGTTAAGCCCAAACCATATCTTAGTACGAATGAGGAAATGTGCAGGTTCCTTGACAGAAGATTGTAGGCACTTTGCTGCTCCTCTGGGCTAACTGCCATCACACTACTTTGAGCTAAGCCATGGTTTGGCTTAGCATTGTCTGAATCAGGGCTCATGGCTTTTATCCCCCAAACAAACAACAATTGGAAAGTCGGAGGACAAACATTGGCTACTGTCAGGATTCTTCTGGCAGTTAGTTACAATGGATGCACATATTTACAAGCTAGGTTTTATAAACTGTTTTTACAATAAGAATAGCATAAAGTGGCATACAAAGATTTAAAACTATACAAGAAACAGAAGAGGAATATAGAAGAGGAAATGAATAATTTTTCCAGTTTCTTGCAGTATAATATGCGAATCAAGCCATTATTATTATTATTATTATTATTATTATTATTACTATTATATTTACTAATTCAAGCTATGATCCTTTGCATGTTTACTTGGCTGCATTCAAGACAGTGAACTTTCTTCAGGGTAGTCATGCATAGGATGATAATGAAAATCAGTACATAATACGTTTATTATATTATTTATATGTTATTTTTCTTAAGTCAAAGCCCAGCCCAAGTGGTTTATACATAGAGTGAAAACAACCAAACATTTGCACCACATGAATACAAGCAGCCCCAGTTTACACATGTTCAATATGTGTGCGGCCATGTATAGGCACATTATGCCGAACCCAGATGTGACATGGAAATATCATAAAGATGTCACTGAAACGTCACTAAGAGGGCAGAAGGGGGGGCAGGATGGGGTGTTTACAGGCTTTTTCAATGGGTTTCAATTATACGCAATTTCACTGACGTTTGTGGTGCCTCAGAATGTAACCCCTGCGTAAACGAAGCCTGTCTGTACAAAAAATGCAGCCCTTTTACAATAAATTTTCAGAATCCCTAAAAATGAGGAAGAGAAGCTGAAACAGTAATTCTAAGATGTTGCATATAGATATTTATGATTTTAAGTAGCTTGGGTTTTTGACTTGGGCTGTAAATTTTCAGGCATTCATTTTGATGATGTGGGCATTAAACTAGCAAAATGTCACATTAACTTATCTGAACGCTGATTCTTTATTCAGTCAGTTCTTGTGAGGGGTGGGTGAGAACGAAACAGGCTTCATTTATATTGGTAGTCCCCCCCCCCCAAACTTAAATTACACTGAAGCATTTGGGGAGGATGACATGTGTGCATCTTTGTCATATCTTTTATCATCACTACCATTTCTCCATCTAATACAACTTGTGACAAACGCGAACGTTAATTACAGTTAACAAAGCAATGTGATGTGAAGTGTTCATATATTTTTTTAAAGGAAAGAGCCAACCCAATCAGTGAGATTTCATCTTACGCTGAGCTTCCAGTCAAAGTTCAGAAGTCAGAAATCAAGTACCATCAGTTATCAAATTATGTTAATGATTCTAATGAAAGCTTCTGGTATTTTGCTCAACACTGTGTTACTATTATGGTTACTAATAGGACAAGAAAAGCTGATAGCCGTGAATAAATTAAAACTGACTGCTAGTGTTCTTTTTTCATATTTGACAATCTGTTTAGTTACTGAGAGTTTTCATGTAGGGCTCGTGTTAGGGTACAGAGTGTATATTTTAATCATATTAGCACACATAAAAAACTACTTTCACATATTATTAAGGCTGTGGGATGCAAACCATCAGAAGGAAATAAAATCAATGTGAAAGGCCAACACATACCCAACAGTTGTGCCTGGGTTCTGACTGGGGATTGGGCAGCCAGTGCCATAGAGATTCCAGGTCACTGTACAGAGCTCATGATTGCATGAATGCCTCCCCCATCCAGTGCGAGAAAAGCCCTAGAATTTTCCATTAGAGGAAAGAGATGTGGAGTGAGGGAGAAGCTAGCTATGGGGAGATGGTGCCAGCTTTCCTAACGCTCCAGAAAATTTGCATGCACACACAGACTGCAGGAAGTTGCAACAACTTTCTGCTATCCTAACCTATATCATGCCAGCCCCATCACTTGCAATTTTATTTCTATTTTTACCTTTACCAATGTTACATTATTTCATCACTTTTAGCTAATGATAAATATACAGTGCAGTCTTTGTTAAGTAGTTTAGCAAGCATCTAAAGTTGCAAATGCTGCTGGACTTTGTCAAATGAACACAGCTATTTTTGCCAGTTCACATCTCTTGGAGTAAATGGAGTTCCTTCCAAACACTAATACTGGTTTGTAAATGATCTTGCCGTATCTTGGATAATTTTTGCACCCTGTCTTAACATTTCTTGAATCATTTTTGGTGCCGTCTTTCCAGCTTTATGTAACAATTTACCAGGAAGCCCATTTAATGAGTACAGGCTGAGGGCTCCTTAAGGTCCAAAAGGGCAGTTTACATTCTAAAACTAGGTCTAAAACCAGACTGGAGTGGATTCAAATAATAGTCTCATTCAGAAAACTCTGGAGCTGATACGCGGGCACACCAGATTGAATACAGGTTGATAGGTCTTAATATTGCCAGGGTCAATGGTGGATTTATTTAACAAGGGCTTCACCACAGCCTCTTTCAGAACTTTGGGACCCCTTCCTCCCTAAGGACAGAATTGACTACTTCTCAGAAACAAAGACTATGACATGCCAAAATTTGCCATTTTAAGAAGCCCATATGGACAAGAGTCAGCTATGCACATGAATGTAGAAAGAGCCCTATGCTCAGCCCAGAATTCTTTTCTCACAGTGGCCAACCAGATGGCTGTGGGAAGCCCACAAGCAAAGCATGAGCACAACAGCCCTCCCTGTTACTGTTCTCCACCAACTGGTATTCAGAGGTAGAACCATCCAGAGGGGAAACCATCAGTAGCCACTGATAGGCCTATCCTCCATGAATTCGTCTAAATTCATCAAAGTGAGTGACCATCACTACCAATTGTGATAGCAAATTCCATAGTTTGTGCTGTATGAAGTACTTCCTTTGATTTGTCCAGAATCTCTCATCACTGAATGTCCATTGTACGTGTTATGCACACAATATATTATGAAGCATTATGAGTCTGCCTTATGTCCTCAAGGCCAACAGTCCAAAAGTGTCTTGACTAGACAGAGTGACTGTATCCTCTATCTCCGAACTTGTTTCAAAAGTGGAATCCAAGTTAGAATGCATACAAGTGATTTTATCTTCACTTGTCTTCAAAACAGTCACAGTCAGCCACTGATGATTCTATCATTTCCCTGCCATTGTCTAATTGTAGAAGGCCTTTCATCACCTGGAAGAGCGCCATTTGTTGATACTGAGCAGACTGCTATAGGACTAATGGTTTTGATTAGTTTTGTTCCTTAAAATGGTTGGGATTCCTAGAATTCTGAATCTGTGAGAAGTCTATTCCTCTTGTGGATACGACAAAACATTTTATGACTCTGTGAGTTTTTGTATGCAACATCTTCCTTGCCAGATGCAGGAACAGAGTGGCCAGTTCATAGATCAACATGCTGCGAAAATGATATAGAAAAGGAAAATTAAAAAAAAACCACCTGATTACTGAAGCACAAGACGTATAATTAATGTAACTCTAGATACTAAGATTGCATTCAGTAAGAGAGACTTCAGCACTTCTTGATCCATTTTATTTCTGCCACACCAGGGGCTAAAAAAAAGTAAAAAAGTAAATGCGTCAGTAAGGGATTTGACAGTGTGTTACGACAGTCATCAATCCTTGTGAGCCTTGTGGCCATAAATAAGCTTCATACCGCGCCACACTAAAGAGGACAGTTTCTCTTCTGCAGGACATTGAAAATGTCGCAGCTAGGGAATTGTTTGTCCCTGTCGCCACGACAACGCCACCATCACTTATCATTTACTTTCACACCAAGTTTTTTTCTTCCCTTTTCTTTTCTTAGAAAAACCCCACACTGAGGTCTTTGTAGCGATAAAACCAAGTCAACATCGGCCCAAATTTTCAAAGCCGTTATTCTAATTACAATGAGGAGCTATAGATTGATGAGCTTAGTTTTTCGCAAGGACTGGTGGCAGTTAATTCCTGTGACCTGTGTGGCTCCAGTAGTCTCTTTTCGAGATGGAGTCTTGGAAGTTCGATTATTAGTGACATCTTGTAAGTGAGAAGAAGCTTATCTCTCCAGAGAGTGTTGATAACTTGAGACAAGGTTTAACTAGCAAGCAGTGAGACAGTGTATGGCAAATAAATAAATAAATAAAGCCCTGCATTCCTGATTTTGCTGCAAGAGCACAGTAATGAGGAAATACCAACCACCACAATTTCACAAGTTGTAAACTCACTGGTAGCTTTCAGTTGTGAATTCTGGAGAAGCCTCTTTCACTCTGCTTTATCTGATAATGTGTGAAAATATTAGTCCTGCTGCTTCTCAGGCCTGAACAGCCAGTGCTCAGGGCCAGATGCATTTGAATACATACAGGTTTAGAGACTTGTGAGAAATAAATGAGAATTGGTAGAATTTTGTTTCAACCTATGGGAGTGGTAATGGGAAACATTGCTTGCACCATCCATTTTCTGTGCTTTAAATGTACATTTTGTCTCTTTTGTTTGTGTAGAAACGGGAGTATCTATGAGTTGCATGAGTGCAGCAATTTGAAAAGAGAGGTGCTGTGGTGACCATTTGTGAAAACTGGTTTACGCCCTATGCTCTGTGATTCTATGAGAACTCTACATTTTAGTTAGTCCTATGCGGCGGTTTGAATCCCCGTGACGGGGTGAGCTCCCGTTACTCGGTCCCTGCTCCTGCCAACCTAGCAGTTTGAAAGCACGTCAAAGTGCAAGTAGATAATTAGGTACCGCTCCAGCGGGAAGGTAAACGGCGTTTCCATGCACTGCTCTGGTTTGCCAGAAGCGCCTTAGTCATGCTGGCCACATGACCCGGAAGCTGTACACCGGCTCCCTCAGCCAATAAAGCGAGATGAGCGCCACAACCCCAGAGTCGGTCACGACTGGACCTAATGGTCAGGGGTCCCTTTACCTTTACCTATGCATGCTTACCTGAGAATGAAAATGCAGCAGGCATGTCTATTTTGGCAAATGGGCCACAGTCCCACCAGCTTCCGTCTGCTCTCAGCCAGCCTGCACCTGCCTGCCTACGTAATGACAACCAGGCCAGGGGGTGACCCTGCCTGTCAGCTTTACCTTCCTTAGCCTTAGTTTTGCTCTTGTAGAACTCAGCAGGGAGGAGAATGGGGACAAAATTATAATTAGTTGGCTCTGCCTGTCATTAGCACTGGCTTCATCTACTGTTGGCCTCCCTGGTTTTCACCCCACCAATCCCAATGAGGCACCAGCCCAGGGGATAGGGTTGCCACTGTATTTCCATCAAAATAAACTGTGGCTTTGCTTTTAACTGTTATTTTGGGTCATGTGTGTCCAGTAGTGTTCCTTGTGCTGCTGGAAGGCCCTTTGACAGTCCACCAGAGGCTTCTATCAGCAGAACAGATGGATAATTTCCAGTGCCATCTATTCTCTCTCTCACCTGCAGCTCCTCTGAAGAGTCTACCAAGTCATTAAAGAAGATTTTGGGGGTTTGCACAGGGGGAAATCAGCAAAAATTATCCCCTCCCCATACCACTGACAGAAGCCTCCACTGGATCAAATATCTTATGACAGCACAAAGTATAATGTTAGATTCCTTTCCCTTCCTTCCAATAATGATTTTTTGTGTAGACGAGTGTCTTACCTAAATATATTAGGTACGGTGGTACCTCGGGTTACATACGCTTCAGGTTACATACGCTTCAGGTTACAGACTCCGCTAACCCAGAAATAGTACCTCAGGTTAAGAACTTTGCTTCAGGATGAGAACAGAAATCGTGCTCTGGCAGTGCGGCGGCAGCAGGAGGCCCCATTAGCTAAAGTGGTGCTTCAGGTTAAGAACAGTTTCAGGTTAAGAACGGACCTCAATGAACGAATTCAGTACTTAGCCCGAGGTGCCACTATATATTAAAGTAGCATTGGAGTCCTGTGTCCCACCCCATGTGTTTTCATGCTATAAATGTTGGTCTACTCTACAGTGAACACGTGTAGTTTGTTCCTTGCTGAATTTCACTGCAAAGTTGCTATCTTCTTAAAGTTCAATCTATAGAACTCGAATTTTGTAACTGGTAGAGCTGTTAAATACATTTTTCCTATCTCTTTTTTAAGCCTCTCCTTGTTAATTAGAAGTGTACATATTGGGAAATTAACTATGAAATACTAAAAATGATAAATTATTCCATATTTGAAAGTATAAATTAAAGGTTTAGTGTATATAAAATTTGTCATGTTTAATTGCAAGTTCAATTAAAATTCAGGATAATGATGATTTATACAGGTTTCTGTGTAATTTGATATTCATTAGCTTAGCCAGACACATGCTGATATTAGCTCGTTAATTATGTTTCCTTTTGTTGAAAGCAGCCTTGTGAAAGCAATCTGCTCAAAGTTTTCCAAACTCATTCTGCTAAATGAATATTTAGCAGCTGTTCGTGTTATTGAGATGGTCACTGCGGCTTCATTTCACTCATACATGGCATCAATCATACCTACTGTATGACAACAAGGTTTTCTCATTACAAACCCATTTATGAAGGTTATGGGTGACGTTAACAAGTTATTGCATGGCAGTATAACACAACTTTACAGTCATGTAGTTTACATTTAGTTTCTTCAAATAGCTTGTGGTCCAAATGTTGGGAAAGTGTAGGAACACACTGGCAAAAATTACTCATATACAAATTATTGTAATTGGCTGTTGTAGTACTGGGGTTGATTGATTGATTGATTGATTATGGTTTTTGAACACCGAATTATGGATACCTTAGAGCTGCCTTTTCATCCCCCAACCCTACCCCCCGAAAAAAATCTAAGTGTTCACAGCAAGGATATCTATGAAGCTGTTCTTGATGGTTACTTTTGAAACTTTCCCCTTTGAAAGTCTCTGTGTTTCTGAGCATCTTTTAGAAATGGTTGGCTTGATCTGGTCCAACAGTGCATACAGTATGCCTGATCAGAGGGATCTTACCTGGTGCTCCCCAGCTTTCTCCTACCTAGTACTCCCCAGATATTGTTGGATCACAACTTCCATCATCCCTTATCAATGGTCGTGTTGGCTGGGGGAAGACTGTTGGAGAAGATGGTCCTAGGGGATAATAATGCCTCCCTGGCTTCTTCCCTTGGGATACATGTATGAGTAAGAATCAATATGTAATAGGGAATGGGAACCCTGTGTATATTTCTCATATATCTGTCTTCCACTTGGTCAAGGGATATGTGATGATGTATGGGATCCTTCCATGAATGGGAACTGTGCCCATAGTAGGACTGGATTGATCCCAGCGTGTTTGATTTAATAACTGCTTTTTGTGTTGGGACCACAACTTCCAGCAACTCCAGGATTGATTATGGATGGTATTTGTGACATTGAACAAGGTACTTCCAGTTGCGCCCTTACTGTTAAGGGGATAGAACTTCATTAAAAATGCTGCTTCTCCCGCACAGCGGTTTCGTTCATCAAATTAGAGCTTTTAGTTCATTTGTTGAATATGAAAGTACTTACCTTTTAAGAGTATTGTTTTTCTGTGGCTTCATTCAATTCACCACTGTTTAAGCAGAAAAAAGTTAATTCATATTAACAAGTCAGTACTGGGAAAATAGTTAGCGAGTTAAGTATCTGGGCCATGTAGTCATAACATTTCTGCTTGAACAGCTAGGGTTCTGTTGGAAGTGGCTTGTCGGGCAAAGTGTATTTGAAGAGTTTTGCTCATAAGCTCTGCTTCTCATGATTAAGCAGTGCTGCCTCTTTTCTGTAGCTTTTCCTTTTCTATCACTCTTTCACTCAGCAGCTCTTTGAAGTTAGAAGTTATTCTGATCTGTCTTGAGTACTAATTTTTAAGAAATCTAGATAACCATGTAACTCCTTCCTCAAATCTCCCTCCCTCCCTTGCAATGTACATTATTATTGATGCCAACCTTCTTCTACTGCTACCACTAAGTTTTATTCCACAGTAGGCTTCTAAGTGGTTTACAAGTGTAACTATCAGTTAACAAAGCATTAAAATATAAACATCCATTACATCTATATGAAACCTTTGGGAGCTGTCATCAGTGGAGTCGCAACGGGGGGGGGCGGTGCGCCCCGGGTGCCATGTCTGGGTGAGTGACAAGAAGGCACTCCATGGAGGCTGCGGTGGCACGAGCAGCCATCGCGCCGCCACAGCTGCATGTGGAGGACCCTCCATTTGCAGCTGCCGCCATGAGCAGAGGATCCCAGTGCCGGTAGCAAACTGCTATGTACAGCACATGTGCGGCATCACACGCATGCACTGTACGTAGCGATGCCACATGTGCACTGTACATAGCAGTTTGCCGCCGGCGCTGCTCGAGCACTGTACAGACGGCGGGGATCCCTCTGTCGCCACTACAGCTGCATGTAGAGGATCCTCCGTTCGTGGCTGTAGTGGCGACAGAGGGATCCCACCGCCATCCATATGGCGCTGGAGCAGCGCCACCGGCAAACCACTATGTACAGCGCATGTGTGGCATCGCTATGTAGTGATGCCGCACATGTGCCCTATGTAGCGACGTCCTGCCCCGGGTGTCACAACGCCTTTGTTCGCCCCTGGCTGTCATCAGGAGATTTGGAGTGAAGCGTCATCAATATGCAGATGACACCCAGCCCTGTCTCTCTGTTCCATCTGAATCTGGAGAGGCAGAGTACTAGAGGTGTTAGACCAGTGCTAGGAGGTGAGGATTGGCTGGATGTGGGGCAATAAATTGAGGTTAAATCCTGAAAAGGCAGAGAGGTGTTATGTATCCTGGGTTCTTACATCCGGGAGGTAGGGAGACAGCCTGTCCTGAATGGTGTTGCAGGTCCTCAGCTTCAGAGTGTTCTTGAATTCAACACTGTCACAGGAGACAAGATCTTAGAATGGATTTGGTAGCTAATAGGCAGCCAATCCCAGGAGTGATATGTGCCCAGTAAGGGGCATCACTCACCACTCAGGTGACAGGATTTTGCACCAGCTGCAATCTCTGGACCAGCTATAATAAAAACACCACATAGAGCACATTGTAGTAGTAAAAATGTGGTTATTGGTGCATGTGTCTAAGCTACTCCTCTACAGGAAGGGACACAGTTGACACATCAAATGAAACTGGTGACATGCACTCTTTGCCAGGGAGGCCACTTGACCAGTATACCTTCTGCAACCCTATTTAGAAAACATATTTAGAAACAGCAAATCTTGCCTCAATTATTCATGCTTTAGTTACATCCAGACTAGATTATTGTAATGCACTCTAGGCTGGGCTGCATTTGAAGACGGTTCATTAATTGCAACACACAGCAAGAGCATACATGAAGCTTTTCTAGGTGCAAAAAACAACACCCGTGCAAGGAATTGCTTCTTGAACAAAAGCTCATCTTTTTGTGATACAACACAGAGTAATAGTTTTAAAATTATTTATAGAATGAAATCCCAACTTTGTTGAAAAATACTATCATTGCCTGCAATTCCCATTAGTTTCCCTAGACTTAAAGAACAAAGATTTGGCAGTATTTCAGTGACAGAATGCTATATATAATTTGTCAGGGGACCTGTTGACCTTATGTAAATTTGCCTTTTTGAGAAGGTTTTGTTATTATGATCGCAGTTGCTAGAGCAGTTGTGTAAACTTAGCAACAGTTGATATGTTACTGTCAAGTTTCATGAGCTAAGTTGCCCTCAAAGGTAGAATCAGCTCTTTGCAAAGTTCACACCTATAATTCAGAAATATTATTTATGAAGAAAGAACACATTCTGGAACAAGTAGAAGGCTTCTGATTCTGTCCTTTGGGGCAGCAATGACTTGGCCCCAGTACTCCATGCTCTTGAAGACAACTTGGCAACTTCAATTGGTCCAAAATGCAGCAGTCAGTTAGCTGGGATTCCATTTAGAACACACATATATATAACCCCTATTTTAAAATAGCTGCATTGGTTGGCAGTTCATTTCTGGGCCTAATTCAAAGTGCTCACATTAGTTGTAGAGTCCTAAATAACTTAGGCCCCATGCCCCATGTAAAGTGACTTCCCAGCTGTTCTCTGCTAATTTCCTTTTAGTTCCCTCCTTTGGAAAGGCTGTGGGATCTATAATGAACTAGTCGAGGGGCAATAAACTGAAACTGTCCAAACAAAAATGGGGTTCTGTGGGTAGGTGGTTGTGAAGAGAGAGACAGTGTTCCAACGTGTTAGTCCTGCAAAGAATCAGATTCGGAGCCTGCAGTTATTTTTAGATCCACCTTTGTTATTGTAGGCCCAGGTAGCTTCTGTGGTATCATAGGCTGCTATGCCATCTGGGACCTTTGCTAGTGATAACCTAGGCAGAGTTATTGATGCTTTGGTAGCAACTGGGATTGACTAATATAATGCATAGTGCATGGGCATACCTTTGAAGACGGTTCAAAAACAGCTGTTAGAGAGTTACACTTACTCTCTTCTGTGAAGAACAAAGTCTTCCATCCGGGCTTCTATTTCTTGGCCAGTCTGTATGCCAAGCCTGGGAACCTGGCATATGTGTGTATGTCTGCAGTTATGATATGGAAGTGTGCAAAGTATCGGGTATTGAAAGGTAAACTTTAACACTGGGACCATTTTAATACCTAATCCTAATAATCTTTACAGGACTGAAATTTGTTTTCATGCTCACTGTTTTTGATTCCCGTTTCAGATTTGCAAGATAGAAATATACAAAAGAAAAAGAAAGAAAAGGAATGTCCTTGTTTCTTTATCTGCCGCAACATTGCCTCTGAGCCGATTTCTCTGTCTGTCCATCCTGATGGCATGCAAAAAGCAGGATTAATCCTTTCCTTGTTACTAAATTTTGTCTGTGTGAAATTTTTCTGAGCTTAGTATGAATGATATTCCTCAAGAGGAAATTTATTCTTGTAAGGATTTCCTTAGTCCACCAAGAGAGACTCTTCCTGGCATTAGGGGAGCAAGATGTAGGCCGAGTGGAAATGCACCAAACTGATTTAATAGAAAAAGGTAATTCCTATTCAAACTGTATGGTCCCTTATTCATTTCTTCGGATTATCATCAAATTTATGTCACCAGCAAAAGGAGCTTTATTGAGTTTCACAGATATATTCCTTTTGCTTTCATTGTCATTAGTTGGCACACTGACATTTTCATATGTGTCTCAGCTAATGCCTCAAAATTACTCCATCTACAAATGTAACAATTGAACAGATAATTTTAATAAGATTCAGCTTGACTTCAGACTGCACTCCTTCCTTTTCTTTATAGAATGCAAATTGTAACCTGTTTTTAAAGCCGTGCAATGCAGTGAACTTTAATGGGATTTGACAACATCATATTAAGCACAACAACTACGCATAATGTACCGAAAAATTGGACGTGAAATTGGAAACATAGCTGAGAACAAAGTAAATTTACATGGTTTGGTAGTTTGAATGTCTGATATCATATTCTCTCATGCAAGCTCCATAAAAAGCAAGGGATTTAACAATGGATATCAGCGGAAAGTGCTTTTAAAGTTAAAGCTGATGGATGGCTTGTCAAAAAAAATAATTGCATTGGTTGGAAAGTCGGGATGCGTGCTGAGGGGGAGAGAACAGGATATACAGAGAGGATGATGGGAAGTGACAGTGGTCTGTCAAGAAGCAGTGGCTGCCCAGAGAAGTGTGAAGCCAGAGCTATAAGGTGGCAGAGTAGAACAGGCTGTCAGAGCGGGAAAGTGGCTTTAATACCCTGAAAAGCAAAGGAATCCGCCTGTCAGCCTTGCTCAGCCGTGCTGAAAGAGGAAAGGAACATGGCATAAAGTTAGAGACATTAAACGGGGAACTGGGGGGCAGGGAGAGACCACAGAAAGCAAAAAGAGAAAGGGTGGGGGAGAAGAAAGCTGATGATTTTATTTGTATAGACAAATGACGAATTTTTTTTGGTAAGAAGCTCACTTTTGGCCACATCAGAGTGTTTTGCAATAGTGGGGTATTGCAGATAATGTGGGCACTGGAACACGGAATGTCTGCAAAAATGAAACAGTTCATTAAAGGTCTGTAGAAAATGGGGAGGGATTGTTTCTCCTTGTGTGCCTGTTTCTGGCACATTTAAGCACACCACTCTGTCCTGTGACCTTCCGTTTACTTCCATTGTGTGCAGCTGTACTGTGAATTGCAGCTATGGGCGTATTACCAGACCAATTGAGTGTGCTTCTTTTTCTTTTTTTGCTGTGAGCCTGAGGCAGGTTTTGCATGTTAACCAAAATCTTTAACGTTTCTGGAGTTGTTTTTTTCCTCTCTGTGGCTATATCAGTTTTTAGCCTACAATTCTAATTAATAAATGTTAACAAGGAAACTCATTGTGTTGTTTGGGCAAGCTATGCTTTCCTCTTAGCCACACCCCGTTCTCTTTCACACATGTCCCTGTAGTTTATGGTAGTGTTATGGCAATCAGTAATTATCACCATCATCACAGCTAAACATCAGCAAAATCCCTGTGCTCATGGAATGCACAGATGAAGGTATGGAGTGGAGATCAGGGTCGTGATTGCTAGTCCTGTCCTCCAAAGGTCCAAGGTCCCCTTTGCCCAGGATTGGTTTGTTCCCTTCATTTTTGTGGGGGTAGGAGGCTTTGTAAACTACCTTCAAAGTGTTGCTGAAGGGCAATATATTAATCTTTAAAATAAATGAATAAACCTGTGTGCAAATAGGACCTTGCAATACGGAAGGGGCAGCAGTAGGTACAGTAGGCATGATTTCATGCATCTTATGTATACATCTTTTAATCTGAAATAAATAGAATCCAAGAGCATGTTTTGCAGGAAAACAATAATGGTTTTCACAACCTGTAGGTGATATTTGTAAGATACGGGGAGGTAACCTGTGGGAACAGATTCAGGGTTATAGGGAGAGAAGAGGGAGTGAAATACAGTCCTACATCCCTATTTGACATCTGTGGGAAATCGAATCTGGTGAAATCTGGGCTGGATTAAGAATGGTTATGGGCATTTAACAAACCTTGGCTATGGCTCACAGTAAGGAGAGAGCTTAACCACAAGTCTCCATTTGGGTGACACACTAAGCCAAATCTTGGCTTAGCTTAGTTTAGCTTAGCTCAGCATAGCAGGGCAGGGCAGGGCAGCAAACTGGGCTGTTGACCATATAATAAATATTCATGGGGAGGGATTGTCCATGTGCTTTAATAGCAATAGTAATAGTAATAATATATTGTCTCACAATAAAATAATAATCTATTGGCCGTTGAGAATTAGATTAACCTGGGGCAGGAGATTGTGTGCAATAACTAAGTTTAGCATTCCATGCAGCATTTGGACAAAGCCACCACCTTATATTATTTTTTGCAAGTACGAATACCTTGCATAGAAAGAGATAATGTTACAGTGCAACGTCGTTATCTTACAATGTGCTGAAAAAGTCATACGGTTCATTATTCTCCATTGAAGGGTTAAAATAAATAAATTTTAGAAACCCTTGAAAGCAGTGCTTTTGCTGTGGATAGTATATAACAAAGTCTTAAAGGTCTGTAGTCTTTTAGAGCTTATAGTGTAATTTTGTATATAAGGGGCATACTGGCTTCCATTGCACTTTCACAAACACAGTCTCCCTCTCCCTCTCTCTCCTTCCCTCCCTCCTCTTCAAACTTACTGTTCTTTTAAGGCAAATGAGACCTAAGGATAGAAGGGCAGTGAAAAATGTAAAACTGGCCAAGATGGATGGCAAAATGCGCCATGCATAAATAAATTACGGGGGGGGGGGGGAATGAACAATGATTGTGTGGTTGAAGACCTGGCTGAATACGTGTGTCAGGTGCTGATTGGAAGAATGATAAATGGAGTGACCTAACAAAGGATTGACTTCTCCAAAAGACAGGCCCTTTTAATGGATGGAAAGGGAGGAAGCCTCATTTAGAAGGGAAAGGCTGTTTGCTGTGCAGATATGACAAAGGGGAAGTCGACAACCATTGATTTACGTTCGGGAATGACAGTTGAAAAATTCAACAATAATCATGACAAATGAGAAGCGATGCAGTCAGGGGGGGGGGGGGAAATGCCAATACGTTAAGCCTGAGAAGAAATGCCAAGGTCACAGGGAAAGGTTTCCAAACTTCTGCTTTTGACAATCCTAATGGAAATATTGGAAAGATGGGATGCAGGTTAAAAGGTATGGTTTGGAGTGAAGGATTGGAAAGGACATGAGTTAGTGCTGGTTCTTTCAAAAGCAGCTACTGAACATTTGTTGCACCTAGTCCTGAGAAAGGTTTTCTTCATGTCTCCTACTTTTTCTCTTGTGGAAATGTTAAAATGAAATAATAGGTGAAATCTAGGCTGGAAAATACAAATCTGAGTTCTTGCCAATGACTTCAGTGGGTGTGGAAATGCCCTATTTACTATGTATGTGTTTATAAAATATATTGCCTTATTGGATTTTTTTTTTTTTAAGCCACTAATCTAACAGGAATGCTGAGGTGTTTCTGTAAATATGTTTTCGCTGTGACTATTGACAGAATAAAATGAGTGTGTGAATTCTGCCCCAGCTGCTTAATTCTAAAAATGCCTTTTAAAAAGAAATATGAAGACACTGGAAATGAGGCTGCAAGTTTGTTTGGGGGAAACTATTGTGTTAGAAAATCAGTGTATTCGTTTGGAAGTTCTCCATTATTTTAACATGCGCTTGTGCTTATGCATGCAGTACTTGAGCAAGCTGTTATAAATAATTAGAGAAGCATCATCTTTCACTGACATTTCTGTATTTGCAGTAAGCATATCCAAGCAATGTTTGTAAAATAACCGTCCTTTATAAAAGAAATGAATGGGTATTTTTACTTCACTGTGGAGCATATTAAATGGCACAAAAATCTTTATTAAGCAATTTTAAAATAAGATGTGCTGGAGGGAAATATTTCATATGGCCTTGATTTGTCTTCTGTGGCCACTGGAGTAATGATCTGTGTGAGTCTGTGCTCACATGAGGAATGGCAGGAATAGAAGGGGGGGGAAAGAGCACAGTCTGAAGCCCACAAATATAAGGAGACAAAGCAATGATTAACAATGATGTGCTACCATTCTCCTATTTCCCCACCCCAGTTGGGGGAAGACCTAGTCATTTGGATGATGGTACTGGAATGCATCATTAGCAGACGCGTGACAATGTTTCTCTTTAAATCACTAATAGTATGTGATGTTTCAAAAATAATTATAATGGCACCCCAATCTTAAATAGTCCACAAGTTGGAAGGAATTAATTGTGAATTGATGTTAGCTCCCCTGACCTCCTCTGTGTGCTATACATGGTGTATACCACTTTGTATTTACAACAACTGTCTGAAGTAGGTTCCGGTGAGGCTGCTCCAGGGAATGAGAATTTGAACCCAGGACTTCATTGTCCAATACTGCACTCCACTGACTGATCAAAGGCATTAACAAAGGACATTCACTTATTAACTAGTCATCATGCAGTACCTAAATACAATGAAGCACTGCCAAGTCTCAGTCATTGTCATGCAGGTGCTAGGTGCTGTACAACACAGAACTGCTCATTGTTTCCTGAGAGGGTTTAAAATCTAGAACCCAGCTCATGTTTAAAATCTAGAACCCAACCAGGCAATCTTAATTCCAATGGTGGAGGAACAGGCACACACTCTTCCTTTTTTTTCAAATCTCACAGCAGTTGTGAAATCACCTTGGGCAATTGACTGTCATTTAGCTTGATCCCCTTCCCTCCATCCACTGTATGGGCAAAGTACAGGGTGAGTCTTTTAAAAGAGGCCCCGTGGAACATGTGTACTCTTGTATCCATAGGGCCTCTTTTAAAGGACTCACCCTGTAGTACCAGTCTACCTTTTGTTGTTGTTGTTTAGTTGTTTAGTCGTGTCCGACTCTTCGTGACCCCATGGACCAGAGCACGCCAGGCACTCCTGTCTTCCACTGCCTCCCGCAGTTTGGTCAAACTCATGCTGGTAGCTTCGAGAACACTATCCAACCATCTCGTCCTCTGTCGTCCCCTTCTCCTCGTGCCCTCCATCTTTCCCAACATCAGGGTCTTTCCCAGGGAGTCTTCTCTTCTCATGAGGTGGCCAAAGTATTGGAGCCTCAGCTTCA